AACAGCGTTTTTGCCAACAAACCAATTTTTGGGCGTGCCGTTTAATAAAAACGAAAGATGGACGTTAGCGACTTCTATTGTCAAGAGAAATAAACGCTAGTTTTTTTTTATTAATGAACAATTTGAAATTTTTTTAAAGATCTTAAAAAATCGTTTTATTACTGAACGTGCGAACGATTTTTTCAAACAAATTTTGAAAAAAAAACTAAAGTTTTATATATACCGAACGAATGGTTTTACTGAACGATCGTTTTGTGAGAAACCCAATGAAATTGATGGATGGAAATTTAACTTGTGTACGGACAAAGTCTGATCTTTTAAACAATTAAGAAAAAACGAACGAAATGGGTCGTTTTTAAAATTTATGATTTTCCTTAATTTGTCCATACTCCTCAAATAAATATTCTTAAAGAAAATAGAAAAGACATTATGGTACTTTGTATAAAAGAGAATATGAGAGATATAAAAGTAATGATGATGATAATTTCGGTGCTTTAGATACGGAAAGTCTGGTTCAGAAATATCAAATCATAATAAGTCATGGATAGATAGATAGATAAATAGATAGATAGATAGATAGATAGATAGATAGATAGATAGATAGATAGATAGATAGATAGAAGATAGACATATAGATAGATAGATAGACATATAGATAGATAGATAGATAGATAGATAGATAGATAAATAGATAGATAGATAGATAGATAGATAGATAGATAGATAGATAGATAGATAGATAGATAGATAGATAGATAGATAGACATATAGATAGATAGATAGACATATAGATAGATAGATAGATAGATAGATAGATAGATAGATAGATAGATAGATACACGTTTTACTTATTTTATCTTTTATTCATGCTTTTTTTTATTTTTAGATATCTTAGAAATAGTTTCTAGACTAAAGAATCTTCAAGAACTGAACTGAGTGCTTGCAAAAACCTCTAATTTTCTAGCTTTTATATCTTTGCAACCTGATGGTCTAAACCATTGAAACTTAAACAAGTCGATTAAGCAAAATTTAAACTTTGATACATCAACGGATTATCAACCCATTTTTTTCATGTGTTTCAGTCGTTTTCTTGCAGAAAAATTGTTCAGTAAACACGTTCGTTCAATAAAATTGTTGGTTCAGTAAAATCAATTGTTGAATAAAATCGTTTTTTTTTACTGAACGATCATTCAGTAAAATCGTTTGTTCAGTCTAACCGTATTGGTTCAATAAAATCGTTCGTATTGTGAAAAAAACTAAAATTTTTTTAATCTTTCAGAAAATTCATTCCTCTAATACAGAAGGAGCACGATCATTAGCTATCAACTCACTTACTTTCTACTCCCTTGCAATCAGCTTCATTTACTATCAGCCTCACTTACTATCCCCTCATTTGCTATCAATGCACTTGCTATCTGTTTCACTTGATCTCGGCCTCACTTGCTCTCGTGCACACTTGCCATCCAGTCTCACTTGCTATCAGGTCAATTTGCTATCAGGCCTCACTTGCTATCAAAACGTTTGTTCTTTAGTCTCAACTGCTATCAATGCTCATCTGCTATCCAAAACTAGTTACTAACGAAATAAGTTACTATCACAATTAGTTGTTTCTTAAATAAGTTGCTGTCAAACCAGTTCTTAGTGGCTGTCATAAACAATTGTTGCTTTTTAAACAAGTTGCTATTAAAACCAGTTCTTATTTACTATCATAAACTTATGGCTTTCTAAATAAGTTGCTATTAAAACCAGTTCTTATTTGCTATCATAAACTTGTGGCTTTCTTAATAAGTTGCTATCAAAACCAGTCCTTAGTTGATATTAAAAATATGTTGCTTTCTAAACAAGTTGCTATCAAAACCAGTTCTTATTTGCTATCATAAACTTATGGCTTTCTAAATAAGTTGCTATTAAAACCAGTTCTTATTTGCTATCATAAACTTGTGGCTTTCTTAATAAGTTGCTATCAAAACCAGTCCTTAGTTGATATTAAAAATATGTTGCTTTCTAAACAAGTTGCTATCAAAACCAGTTCTTATTTGCTATCATAAACTTATGGCTTTCTAAATAAGTTGCTATCAAAACCAGTTCTTATTTGTTATCATAAACTTGTGGCTTTCTTAATAAGTTGCTATTAAAACCAGTCCTTAGTTGATATTAAAAATATGTTGCTTTCTAAACAAGTTGCTATCAAAACCAATTCTTATTTGATATTAAAAATGTGTCGCTATCAAAACCAGTCGTTCATGCCATGAATAAGTTGCTTTCTAAATAAGATTCTTTCAAATCCTGTCGTTTGTTTACTTTTGTAGAACAGCTACGCGCTTTGCATCCGTTTCTGTATTTCTGGTACCTGTGGGTGGCCTATGTATTGTATGCCTTGTTTTTGAAGTGGAAATACAGATAGTTATTAATATCTTTCAAAAAGTTGATACCTTTACTTGAGGCAACAAAATGAGCCGGTTGCATGCCCACGCAATGTTTGCCAGAGAATGAAGAATTCCAAATTTTCAGGAGAATAAAAATGGTAAAAATAAGGATTGAGAGGAAGTCGAAAATTTGATAGCAAATGAGGATTAATAGCAAATTGGCCTGATAGCAAATGAGCTGAGGCTTGATAGCAAATGTGTCGATAGCAGTTGAGGCCGGATAGAAAATGAATGTGATCGCAACTGAGTTGATAGTAAATGAGTTTGATAGCAAATGTTTGGATAGCAAGTGAGGCTGATAGCAACTGATTTTCATTGAAAGTGAGTTGATAGCAAGTGGGTTAGGAGCAAATGATCGTTTTTTCAAGATCGATCGTACATATTTAAATTGTACAGTTTTTGATTGTTTGTTTTTTAAAAAACGGTCTACTGTCTCATCTGTGAAGAAAAAGTAATTATATAGTCAGAGTTTGTTGCAAGTAATTTTTGAAATAAATAGTGTCTGCTATATCCTCTTCCCCCCCCCCTCTCTCTATTATTGTTTGCTATCTCCCTCCCCCCCCCAAAAAAAATGATCTGCTATCTCCGTTCTTCCCCCCTTGAACAATGTATGTTAAAGTTTATAATTTCTAGATTTCCTAATCCTTTAATACTTCAAGGTATTAAGAGCCTGAGTACTTGTAGTTGAGATTAGATTTTTATAATCCTTGGAACATGTCTTTTACTAATATTTATAATATCCTGTCCTATCTTGTCCTATCCTGTCCTATCCTGTCCTATCCTGTCCTATCCTGTCCTATCCTGTCCTATTTTGTCCTATTTTGTCCTATCCTATCCTATCCTATCCTATCCTATCCTATCCTATCCTGTCCTATCCTTTCCTATCCTGTCCCATCCTATCCTATCCTGTCCTATCCTGTCCTATCTCGTCCTATCCTGTCCTATCTTGTCCTATCCTATCCTATCCTATCCTATCCTATCCTATCCTATCCTATCCTATCTTATCCTATCCTATCCTAACCTATCCTATCCTATCCTATTTTGTCCTATCCTGTCCTATCATGTCCTATCCTATCCTGTCCTATCCTGTCCCATCCTATCCTATCCTATCTTGTCCTAATTTTCCTATTCTGTCCAATCCTGTCCTTTCCTATCCTATCCTGTCATATCCTGTCCTATTCTGTCCAATCCTAACCTAACATATCCTGTCCTATCCTGTCATATCCTGTCCTATCCTGTCCTATCCTGTCCTATCCTGTCCTATCCTGTCCTATCCTGTCCTATCCTGTCCTATCCTATCCTATCCTATCCTGTCCTATCCTTTCCTATCCTGTCCCATCCTATCCTATCCTGTCCTATCCTGTCCTATCCTGTCCTATCCTGTCCTATCCTGTCCTATCCTGTCCTATCCTGTCCTATCCTGTCCTATCCTGTCCTTTCTTGTCCTATCCTGTCCTATCCTGTTCTATCCTGTCTTATTTTATTCTGCAAAGAAAAGACGTCATGGCATAGTTATTACAAGATAAAAAGATATAAAGGTTTTATGCTGTAAGATATACAATAACATTCTCCATAACATTTCCTTATGTAATCTAATTGCCAATAAAAAATCCGTATAAATATAATAAAACAATAAACCACACAATACAATTATTCAATTTAAGATAATTGATTGAATTACACCAAGATTATGCTTGTATCTATAACTATATTCAGATGCAAACATTTATCAGATTGTATCCGGGTATCAACTTTGTGAATGAGTTACATGTGTCTTGTTCATATTGATTTTAAATGACCTAATTATCGCCTAGCTGTTCTTTAATGACCTAATACTATCTAACTGCTTGGGAATAAAACTATTTATCACCTACCAACCTGCTCTTAAATTACCTATTTATTATCGAACTGCTAAAAAAGTATCTATTTATCACCTAACTACTCTAAATTGACCAATATATTACCTAACTGCTCTAAATTGGCCTATTTATCACCTAACTGCTGTAAATTGACCAATTTATCACATAACTGCTCTAAATTGACCAATTTATCACCTAACTGCTCTAAATTGGCCTATTTATCACCTAACTGCTCTAAATTGGCCTATTTATCACCTAAATGCTGTAAATTGACCAATTTATCACATAACTGCTCTAAATTGACCAATTTATCACCTAACTGCTCTAAATTGACCAATTTATCACCTAACTGCTCTAAATTGACCTATTTATCACCTAACTGCTCTAAAATGACCTATTTATCACGTAACTGCCTTAAAATAACCTATTTATTACCTAGCTAACTGCCCATGCATGACCTTCGTATTACCTAAATGCTCTTAATTGACCTATTTATTAACTAACTGCTCAAAAAGTATCTATTTATCACCTAACTACTCTAAATTGACCAATATATCCCCTAACTGCTCTAAAATGACCTATTTATCACCTAACTGCCCTAGCATGACCTGTGTATTACCTAACTGCTCTATATTGACCTATTTATCACCTAACTGCTCTATCATGACCTATGTATTACCATAACTGCCCTAAACTAACCTATAAATATTTGCAGAGACTGGGAAAGGGAATAAACCTGTCTGTGGAACGGTTTGTGACTGTCGGAGAAACTATTGCTGAGATAGATAGACAAGATATGCTGGATGCCTGCAGGGAAACAAGGTAATTAAAGTATTAAAGGGACTGTACACGAAATTTCAAGTAACCCTACACATTTCTGATTAACATAAGTTTATTGTAAACTTTATTTTTATGGTCACCCTGTTTGTAATTATTAAATCCTATCTTGGAAACCCTGTTTGTATTATTAAATCCCATCTTGGACACCATATTTGTATTTATAAATGTAATCTTGGACACCCTGTTTGTAATTATAAATTCTATTTTGGTCAACCTATTTGTATTTATAAATCCCATCTTGGTCACCCTGTTTGTATTTATAAATCCCATCTTGGACACCCTGTTTGTATTTATAAATCCCATCTTGGACCCCCTGTTTGTATTTATAAATCCCATCTTGGACCCCCTATTTTTATTTATTATAAATCCATCTTGAAATCCCATCTTGGACCCCCTGTTTGTATTTATAAATCCCATCTTGGACCCCCTGTTTGTATTTATAAATCCCATCTTGGACACCCTGTTTGTATTTATAAAACCAATCTTGGATACCCTGTTTGTATTTATAAAGCCAATCCTGGACACCCTGTTTGTATTTATAAAACCAATCTTGGACACCCTGTTTGTATTTATAAAACCAATCTTGGACACCCTGTTTGTATTTATAAATCCCATCTTGGACCCCCTGTTTTTATTTATAAATCCCATCTTGGACCCCCTGTTTGTATTTATAAATCCCATCTTGGACAACCTGTTTGTATTTATAAAACCAATCTTGGATACCCTGTTTGTATTTATAAAGCCAATCCTGGACACCCTGCTTGTATTTATAAAACCAATCTTGGACACCCTGTTTGTATTTATAAAACCAATCTTGGACACCCTGTTTGTATTTATAAATCCCATCTTGGTTGTCCTTGGTTAAATTGTTCCAGTGATAAACATATTTTCCATTTGGCAGGATTAGACTGGATTAGACGAAAATCCTCTAGTTAGATCCCCTAGTTAGTGGACCATTATAAAGATTTAGGGAGGCCTCTAGTATGTGGGAGTAAATAGGCGTGTTCTTTTTTATTTGTTCCTTCCTCGTTCTAGAACAAGGGCTTTCAAAAGAGATCCTTCGTTCCTCTTTACTTCGTTTTCCAATCATTTTATCCTCATAACGTTCTGTTCTTTGTGTTCTTGATCGAAAACGGTTCTAGTTGTTCCTTAACCTGTGTTTGTATAAAATGCCTTCTTTTTAAGCGAAAATTTTATGTTTTTTTAAAAAGAAAATGGTATTGAAGGTTTTAAAAGCTAGTTTTTGTACATTTTCTTAACACTTTTCAGATTATTAAATGCCTTTTTTTCGAAATTAGAAAATATAGATACTTTCAAACTAGAGGTTTTTGCAGTATTGAGATTTGAAATTTCAAAATGAGAATATAAAATTTCAACTTTTATTTTCAAACTCTGGTATTGGTGGTAGTGAGATTTCAAAATCCAAAATGAGAATATAAAATTTCAAAGATTTCAAAATCCAAAATAAAAAATTTCAACTTTTATTTTCAAACTGTGGTATTGGCGGTAGTGAGATTTCAAATCCAAAATGAGAATATAAAATATAAAAATATAAAACTCCAGAAAATCTTTGTGAATAATTGAGAGATTATAGAAACTAATAATTGAATAAGATTACTTCGATGATAAGATTAATTTTTATTTTCTCAACCTACTCCTAAACATCTAAATAGTTTACTGTAGAATTTTGTGAACATTTTTGACGTCTTTACTTAACAATTAAAAAAAGAAATTCCGAAAACATATCCACCATTGCCGACTTTGCGCTCAAACTCAGGATTTAGAGATCTTTAAAAAGTTTTCTATGTCTCTAATGAATCCTAAAAAAATCCACAACACTGCATACTCAATTCAACTACATTACATAGCCGGTCAGTCCCTTTAAGAGTAACAGAGTACCTTCTTCTTCCTTCACTTCTAATCTATAGCTGACAATTGAACTTTACTAAAGGGACAAGTAGACGTTATTTCAAGGTTTCAATTATAAACTGATTAAATCATTGTTTCATAAAGGGTAAATGTGAGATGTCTCTTGGAAAAATCAATTTTTTTTAGTTTTTGTTTTTGCACATGCACATATTAACACTGCAACGGCAGTGAAGTAAACTGCCAGAATTCAACACTTTTTAAGAGAATAACGGTTTAAAGGGTATCATTGTTAATCGAATATGGAATCATCATATTGTTCATTCTTTGAAATCATGTACAAGTAAATGTTTCTTTTTTTGGTTTGTAAACCAAAAATATGTTTAATGCGTAGTTTCTATGCAACTCGGAGAATCTATATATAAATATATATATATATATTGTGACATTGCATCAAATCCCCCGCCCCCTTCCCCTCTCTCCTACCCCCTGTCATCTATGATTACACTAGAAATTAGTTAATTTATCCTAAAGCTCAGTATATTTATCATTTTATCTTCATATCTTCATTACATGACCTGGACTGGACTAAGAGAAAATACATCAAACAAAGATCTCGAGCTGGGGGTGTTCGGCTTTTTTTCAGTTCATTAATTTGGTTATCGTTTTTGAACGACCAATTTCACTAGTTTTTTTTCAATTTTTCCAAAAAAAAAATTTCGTTCATTCTTAAAACTTTCGCTTATTTTACATGAAACGATTATTCAGTAAACATGTTAGTTCAGTAAAATTGTTCGTTCAATAAGAATAATGATAGTTTTTTCAAAAACTTTTGGAAATTTAGTTCATTCAGTAAAAAACGAGAGTTTTTTAAGTTTGTGTGAACAAACAATTCAATTTAGATACTGTTCATGTACAATCGAAATTGTTCGAACAATTTTAAGTCCTTTATTTTTGTTGTTTTTTCGTTTGCTTTTAGAAAACAATAGTTTTCATTTCTTTGAACGTTCCAAGTTGTTTATCCATCGTTTGTTAAACATCGTTTACAAAACCATGATTTCTCAAAAAAAGGTGTTCGTTCACAAAAACAATGCCCATCTATATTCAACAGTCAAAATTCTAAAACAGTTTAAAAGTAAAAATAATTTTTCCCGAGCATTTTACTTATTTGTCAATAAAGCTTAAAATATTTAGATATCCAGCTGTCCCGAAAAAAAAACAATATTACAATATCATACTGACAAAATTACAATCAAAATGTAAAATTTTCATAAAAGAAAAATCCAGATTCCGGGTAAAACTTATATTTTGTCTTATGTTTGTCTGATTACAAAACTTTGCCAGCCACCTTCCCCTTCTTCGTTTATTTAATAGGTTCAGTTTCTAATTCTTTCGAAATCAACCAATGAGGACTTTGATATGGTCATTCATTGGTCCAATAGCAAGGTACGATTGAAGGTTCTTATTGGTTGATACAATTTACCAAATATACCTCCTCTATAATTGGCCTAAATTCATTGTCACAAACTCTGGTTTTTAATCTCTATATCTTTTAACCTGATGTTGTAACTCATAGACCTTGATATTTTAAACTATGAAATCTGTTAAATCAAATAATCCAAGTTTGAAATATCAAAGGTTTTCGCCATTTTATTGAACATATATAAGAAGTCGAAAATTTGAGTGTCTGACAAAAATTCAATTCCGTTCTCCAATTTAAGACCCAATAAGTTTGAAAGTTTTTCCACTGAATTCTATTTTAGTTTAGAAACGGAAGCCAAGCTATATTTAAAGTTAGCTTTCAGTTTTTGGTGGTTTGTCAATTTTGGAACAACCTTTAGATCTCCAATATCTATTATCCGATTCAAACATTAAAACAACTCAATAAAACCAAAATATAAAAAGGTAAAGTTAAAATCATTATTGAGCATTTTTTCAAACATCTGCCTAACTCAAGAATTTTACGCCCTTTTTTTGTTTTTTCTTAAATCTTTGATTTAAGTTATTTATTTATTTTTTAAACAGATCTTTTTCACAGTCCGCATTTCTCAAAGAATGTTTTGAGCTTTGACCGACCATGCCCAACGCTAGGCCCCCTGATACCCTGGGACCATTTGAGATCCCAAACAAAATTTACCTTGAATGACTTAACTGTTTTGCTGGAAAATGCCAACAATGCATCAATCTGACAAAACATAACTCATTTACTAGTCTTTTTGTTAAAATAATAATATTAATGATATATTTTAATACTTATTCTTTTTTAGGCGAGCAGGAAAACTGATTGAAAAGCTTGCTGAAAATTTGGCTGTGCAGGAAAGAAATAGATTTTTAGAACTAACAATAAACAATTTAAGAAAAAAGGCAGATATTTGTATATGCACAGATGCGTAACTAAACTCAGCGCTTCTCCAGCTGTAATTCTGGGACCACATAGGAAAGGTCTGCTCTCCTCGGAGGTGGCAACTGAGATTTTTATAACTAACAGTATACAATTTGAGAAAAAAGGCAAAGATGCGTAACTAAACTTAGCGCTTCTCCAGCTGGAATTCTGGTACCACATAGAATAGGTCTGCTCTCCTCGGAGGCAGTAAGGCAACTGAGATTTTTATAACTAACAGTGTACAATTTAAGAAAAAACGCAGAAAAAGACCTTTTGTACCAGGCCAGCTATATGTTGTCTGCTTGCATATTTGTATATGCACATACAGTAACCAGAAAACTCTGAATTAAGAAGACGAATTTAATACTCAAGTCTTGACAACAATAGTGCAATGAACATTAGTAAGAGCAATTGCGCAGTGTCAACAGACCCATTTTAATTACATAACCGTGATTCAGCAAGTCTTTTAAATCCATTATGATTATTTCAATTTTTTTAGAAAGTTTGAAAATGCGGGAAACCTTGGGAGAAACTAGAATTAAAATGGATTAAACAAAAAAGAGTTAAAATGTTTAATCTTTAATCTAAAGTTTGTTGAATTAATTGGTTTAATCTGAAAGCTTTAGAAACTCCATTCTGTATGATTATTTTTCAATCTTTTCATTTTTTTTAAGGGAGGGGGAAGGGGTCTTTTTTGTGAATTCAGAATGAAAAAGTTTTTTAAAGATTTGCCGTATTCTGCAAAAGAAATACATATTCGTAAATTTCTGAACTATAAATATCTTGAAATTATAAAAAAAAAACTAGCTGAACGCCAGGCGGCGTTGCCCGTGGAATAAAAACATTGAAAAACTTTTTGGAAAAAAAATTGTTTTTTTAAAAATTGATTGTTTAGCCTATAACCCCCCCCCCCCGCAACCAATAATGAGTGTCCACAAAAAAATTGCAGCCCAATCGGTCTAGCCGTTTGGGCGACTATACGCAACATATATACAAATGTCTTGTTATAGATATATTGTGAAAACTTTGCAGTTCTTTGCGCATTAAAATGACAATCCATTATTTAATATTGTATTCCCGGTAAAATCCCTGGGTATGACTGTTTGTCGTTAACACACTAGGCTTACCAATATTGAATAAACGATTATCTTAAAGCTTAGAGGGGGATGCCAAGACACTTTATTTACAATAAAATATTTAACCCTATTAGTACCAGACTCTTTAGTGGTGTGTCATAAAGTTAAATACAAATTGCGAAATTGGTTTTAAAATTTCAAGCTTTATATATTATTTGCTTTTATCTTTTTGTTTGCCTTGATTTACTTTCTTAAATTAGTTTAATGTTGCCTTTTGGTTTAAAATTCAAAGGAACTGAGTTCTTTCCACAAACTATGGTTTTCTAATCTCTATATCTTTGTAACCCAATGTCGTAGACCTTAGATATTTCAAACTATTGATATTTATAGATAAATTAATCCAAGTTTGAAATATCAAAGGTTTACACCATCAGGTTGCAAAGATATTGGGTTCAGAAAATATGAGTTTGTGGCAAAAACTCAATTCCTTTCAGATGTTCAGCAAAACAGCCCCCCCCCTCATCCCCCTATGCATGTATTGTATAAGAACCTGGTCCTGGTCTATACACTAGAATGGTTGATATTGAGTGTTGCTGCTAAAGAAATCCTTTATTATATATACTTTTATAGCAGACATATGTTACTACTGACATAAATGTATTGTTGGGGTATTCAAGAATAAGCATAGTAAAGGGGGATCGGGGGGAGGGAGGGGGGTATTAGAAAAGTAAGGTAGAGATGGGCGCGTTCGGTTTTTATTCTATTTTGTTTGTTCATCGTTCCAGGAAGACCCATTTCGTTTTTTTTCCTCGGTTGTTAACGACCCATCTCGTTCTTTTTTATCATTCAACAAAATTTATTTATTTCGTTCGTAAAATAATCGTTCATTTTCCATCTTTCATTGTTCATTGATATCGTTCAGTAAAATGGTTCGTTCAATAAAACCGTTCTTACAGATAAAGCACGAATTTATTCAAAACTTGTTTGACAGTCTAGAAAAATCATCCTTTTTTCCAAATCTTATGGAAAATTTGTTTGTTTAGAAATTCTAGATCGCTAGAAAGTTCTTATTTCTCCGAAATAACTTTGTATATTTTTCTAAACGGCGCCATCCTTCACAAAGAATTTCGTTTGTTCTCAAAAATTTCATTTGTTCGCAAAAGCTATGCCAATCTCTAGGGGTAGGTGAATATAAAGGAGTGGGTGATATAAGGGATAGAAAATAAAATGCAGGATGAACAAATTTAATTTCTACGATTTGTCTCCAAACTATTTTGTGTTGGTCCAGAGTGGAGGTGGAGGAGGTAATCTCGCAAATACAATATTAGAGGACGAGGTAATGGCTGAGCATAACGAGGACACTAGCTTGCTGTCAGCCTGCAGGAACCTCATGACCTCAATAACTAAGGTGAGAATCTACGATGTTCGGTACTTTCTCAAAAACATTTTCCCAAACAGCAACTTCCCATGGGGTATTTTCCCTAGTGGCAACTTCACAAATGTGCAATTTCCCAAGCGGTAAGTCTGTCTTAGCCGCAGCTCTTGGCCCCCAGTCTGTTCTAACCGTGGCGTTCGGCTCCCTAGCCAATCCTAGCCGCAGGGCTCGGTCCATTAGCAAATCCTCGCCGCTGCGCATCGCTTGGTCCCCATTGCAGCCTTGGGCGCCTGAGAGGGCCTAACCTAACTTTTGGAAAGTTGCCGCTTGGAAAATCGCACATTTGGGAAATTGATACTGGGGAAGTCACCCTGGGGAAAATGCATTGGGAAAGTACATTACATCGAATATATTTACAGCTTTTAAAATGATGCACTAACTTTCGGGACTGAACCAACTTTCAAACGTATCGATGGGCTTTTGTTCTAACTTTGACCTTATGGACCCACGTGTACATTTTTGCAGCAAAGGACATGAATATTTCAAAGCTGCAAAATGCTTATTTATAGCTTTAGTTTTCTCGAATAATTTACCCATTTTTGATATATATACATCTAGATACTTCATGTTTAATCACAGCAGCTGTAGGTCTATTTTTAAATTTAACCCTATCCCTGCTGGGGTACTTGAAAACCAGGATATGCTCTAAATCCCATGTTTTATGTCCAAATATGACAAATCATACATCATTAGAAAGCTCTTGTGCTCTACTTTAAGAATCTGCAAAAAAATTTGCAAATTTGCAAAAGCAGTCATTCAGGCAGTGTGCCTGAGGACTCAGGCAGTTAGTATAAAGCCCGGTTTTAGGCCCAAAGGGAGGGCTTTGGGTATGTAAGAAAAGTCAGAAAATTTCAACAGCCTCAGACCAATACTTTTTGAGTTATGTAAAAAAAACTACAGGGGGGGGTCAAATTGACCCCCACCCCCAGCAGGAATAGGGTTAAAAGAAAAATTATTTTATTTTACCAATCATGAAACCAATATTAAATCTTATAATAAATACCTAAATTACAACATTTTTTTTTTGGGGGGGGGGGAGGGAGGGAGAGGGGGCCAAAACTCTCAAGCTGGATTCACCCTTTTCAGATATGTATAAGTCTATTTCACTTTGAAACACAATATATAGGTTTTCCAATATCATATATGTGATGAGATGAGATTGTTTGAAGTTCTCCTGAATTCCCTGGGGGAAACTGCCCGTATAGGTTCCGAATTATATTCCAATCCTATCTTTCTGATTTTTGACTTAACATCGATCCAATCATTAATAACATATTTTTGTTAAACTTTTCCAACCCAATTTAAATTCGTTAAAATCCACTTTATCTATATTGTATGGTAATTCATTGTGCAGTGCTGATATTGTACGGCACTGCATATTGTAGGGTACTACATTGTGCAATACTGTATTGCATGGCAATGTTTTGTACGGTAATGCATTGTACAGAACTGTATTTTACAGTACTGTATTTTACAGTACTGTATTGTACAGTGCTGTATTGTACAGTACTGCATTGTACAGAACTGTATTTTACAGTACTTTATTGTACAGCACTGTAATGTACAGTAATGTATTGTACTGTATTGTATTATACAGTAAGTATTGTATTGTACTGCTGATAGTCCAAGTCAGAAAAATTGTATTATAATAAACATTTTTGAGAATTTTTAACATATATCAAATTTTTTTTAAAAACCGCAAACATTCCTTTATACCTTTCCTCTCCTATTCTTAGATAAACTAATGGCACAAGAAGCCTGGACAATTAGTCCTGAGAAAAGAATTGGTAGAAAACCTATGACCTTTTCCCAGAAACAATAGAACTGCTGGGGGGGGGGGGGGGGGGGGCACAAATCTTCAGGAAAATGTCATTTGTCTGGAAACCCAGTATTCCAGTATTCAATATTTCTAGTCTAGCTTCAAGATTAATGACAGAATCTAAAATGTTTCTATAAGAGGAATGCATGTCAATTTTAAATAATAAATCAAGAAAAGAAGCACCATCAACTTAACCTGCAGTTTGGCAAACCTTCAAACTTTAAATTTAAAAAGATTGATAATATGGCATGCAGCTTCCAAGTAGATTTTCATGTACAATAGGTGGCAACAGAGAGATGGACCAATTATACACGACGTCACAAGTGTCAAAGAAACTGAGTTTTTGCTACAATCTCTGAGTTTCGAATCTTTTTGTCTTAGCAAACTTAAATGTATAACTGAATATTCTATTTTAAGGACATTGATAAAAAACCAAGGATAATTAGATGCGATTTTATAATTTTATTAGATTTAAAATTGGTGGATTCCATCATTGACTGAGCTACTAGACAGTCACATACGCTATTCGAAATTTAAATAGTAAGGACATGTCTTCTTTATGTGCAAACCGAAGTCGCAGACCTTTGATATTTTAAGCTTTGGACTCTGTTTAATCAAATAGTCTAAATTTAAAATATCAAAGGTTTACATTATCAGGTTGCAAAAAAGGTATTAGAAAGTTTGAGTTTGTGGGAAATACTCACTTCCTTCAAGGGGAGAAACGAAATTTTCTCACATTAATTGGCATGTCTTCCAAGATTAAATAAAAAAGTGTAAAACAGAAAATGAAGAACCAAAAATTAAAACTTATTTTACTGTAAGATAAGCACTTTATTTTTAAATTAGGCAATTATTAATAACTTTGTCGGACACAAAAACTAAGTTGTCACAGGGCTGGGCACATTCCAACTTTTTCTAACGGTTTCACTGTTACTTACCGTTAAAAAATAAAAATTTCAGTTAGCCGTCAATTTTAAAGGTTTGTTTCATTAACGGCATTTACTGTTTTTTTTCAAATTACCGTTAGTTAACAATATCAATTTTTATTAACAACGTGAACAGAAAACTCCCTTTAAATCATTAAATCGGCGAACCTGTTGAAATCACATAAACATTTAAACTTGAGAATTTATTTCTCTTTGTAAATCTCGGGTTCGATCAATAAACACCAAGATACAGATTAAACATAAAATTTTCTTTTGTATTTTGAATCAAAACTACAATAAAGCAAAACTACAATAAACCAAACTACAATAAAGCAAAACTACAATAAAACAAACTGCAATAGAACTAAACTACAATAAAAACTACAATAAAACAAAACTACAATAGAAGAAAACTACAATGAAACAAAGCTACAATAAAACAACTAAAATAAAGCAAAACTACAACAAAGCCAAACTATACTAAAGCAAAACTACAATAAAGCAAAACTACAATAAAATAAAACTACAATAAAACAAAACTACAATAAAACAAAACTACAATAAAACAAAACTACAATAAAACAAAACTACAATAAAACAAAACTACAATAAAACTAAACTACAATAAAACTAAACTACAAGAAAACAAACTATAACAAAGCAAAACTACAATACAGAAAAGGTTACAATAAAACAAAACTACAAAAAAACAAAACTACCATAAAAGAAAGCTACAATAAAACAAAATATAACAAAGCAAAAATACAATACAGAAAAGGTTACAATGAAGCAAATTTACAATAAAACAAAACTACAATAAAACAAACTATAACAAAGCAAAACTACAATGAAGAAAAGGTTACAATGAAGCAAAACTACAATAAAACAAAACTACAATAAGATAAAACTATAATAAAACAAACTATAACAAAGCAAAACTACAATAAAGAAAAGGTTACAATAAAGCAAAACTAATTCTAAAAAAGCCTTTTATCTAAAGAAAAGACAAAAGTATAATTTTAACCTTTATTAGGTTTAAATGGTTGTTAATGGAAACCAAGATGTGGTTCCTCTCACGCAAAATTAAATTAGTATTTTGACAATTACTCCTTTTAAACTTAAGCTAGAAAAAGTGCTTAGGTTTTCGCTCTCAAGGTCTCTGAAAACTGAATAACTTGTCATGGTGTTGTCATTAAATTAGAAATTATACTTGGAGAAATAGTTGGAAGATAGAATATTTTTTCACGACAAACCAACTACAGCCAAGTATGTCTCCTGTGCTTATATATATAAAGTAGTATTCTCTATATTTGGGTATTTCTTTTTCGATCATAACTCATGATTCTCTTGACTCATTTGCCACACATGTTGGTTAATTTTAATGATAACTGTAAATGATTCGACCAGCCGATAATCTGACTTACTATGAGCGAAAGCATGAGGTTGTAAAAAAATGTCCATTTGATAAAGACGGTTCGGAGACAATCAAATCTTATTTTTTTCAAGGTATGGAACCTTTTCGTAAAATAAAATGAATATTTTATTATATGGGGCCACATCTTATTTAATTACAAAGTCGCAATAAAGTTTTTTTTCAAAATAATTTTTTGTACGTCGATATTGGTGATTTCGCCCAAAATGGTCCGTTCTAAATACAATAAAACTGTAAAAACTATAAACCCTATATGGGCAATATTCTATCTTGGAGCAAAGCATAAAAGAATTGAAAATTCGTTTTATAGACATAAACATTTCTAGCTGATTTAACATATTCAGATTCATCCGTATATATGTATATATATACAGGGTAGGGTGTCAATGAAATATTTTTCTTTAAAATGCCGTTTTAACCTTCAATAGTAGGCCTAATATTAAAAAATGTTCTCTGTCTCTTTTCTGAAGATTTTCACAAAAAAATTAATAATCAATGATAGAATTAAGGATTTTTCAAATTTCAAAATGAATGACATATAAGGAATTATTTTAAGGACGTTTGATTTTTTTTTTTGAAAATCTTAGAAAAAGGGCTAAGAACATTTCGAGTTAAAAAAAACGGCATTTTAGAGCAAAATCTTTCAACGACGACACCCTAGTATGCTTAAAAAGCCTAAACACACTTTTTTAGAGACATCTTGTACATATATATATATATATATATATATATATATATATAAAATATATCACAGAGCATAGACCAGGGCCGGCTAGTTTTAGCTTATCGAAAATCATCTTTTTTTGATGAAACACAAAGAACATTAACAAGATAAGGCCTAGCAATTTTGTCTTTTTAAATATATCACAAAAAATAAACTGGATATTAATCAAATCGCCTTTATTTAGTTAAACAATAAAATAGAAGAAAAGTTTGGTTTTCTGATAGTTTCAAAAATGTCTGGAAAAATAAATGTCTGCGTTTGTTTGTTTTGTTTGAGATATTGTTTATATATTGAATATTGTGTATGCATATTAGGATATATATTGACTATGATATATAAATATATTTATCAATGAATATATTATAAATCATGTTCCCCATTAGAACAAACACTACAACAAGCTAATGATCCTAATCCTCATATATGTACATACAGGGGGGCCAGGGAAAAAAGGCACAAAAAATGAAACTTCAAAAAACACACCTGAATTATGTATTTAAGAAAATTGCATTCACAACAAAACAAAAAACTAGAAATAACTCAGTTCATTCCATAAGTGTATTTTCAAGTTACTGGTTTCGTATTTTCCAATCTGAAAATGATATTAAATACACTCTACGCGTGAAATTGCATAAATGTTGTCTATTTATTATACACTTTTTTGTCTCCCTGTAAACATAAATCAAACAAATTAAAATTCAAATTGGTCACAATACGCTAATTTTCTGATCCCTGCTTTGAAACCTGATAACAGAATTCATATTTTTGAATTAAAGATATATAGATATACATATTATAATAATATATAATAGTATATAAATATATATATAGATTAGGAAATAAGAGTTTGAGACAATTGTTTACTTCCTTTTTTCTAAACGTTTTCAAATTACTCTGTGGTAAAGATGTACTGCCATTCACACCATTAGACATTGGTAATCCAAACGTACAACAAGAAAAAAAAACATATTCTTTCAAGTGTAATATTCGGTCCTATCGTAGGATTATCACTTATGAATATGATGATATGATGCTTTGCAATCAAATTGAAGTCTATATACTGTACAACTAGGTTATAATATAGAGTGATGATGTATACTAATCCATTACTAATTGTACAGGGCACGTACTTCACTTACTTACTGCGAAAGCAAACTGCATTTATTATGTTTGTACTGTTTGTTTAGGGCTTATTATCTTTGCATCCTTTATCAGTAAACCGTTTCAATTGTACACTCAAGCTGAAAAGCAGGGCAGGTAGTTAACTACCAACCCCCCTGATACTGAACAGTGTATATCTGAGCCGGTACAACATGTACTGTATTGCAAATGCATGAACTCGCACTGTCCAAGCTGACTACCAAGAGTGTAAGGTTGACCTTTTTATGCAAAGAATACATCCCGGCAAGATCACAGTGAATAAGAAATAACCTTTTTCATAAATCAAAATTTTAATTTGGTGAATAAACTAGGTTCGAAGGATTTATGGATTTTTAAATCTTTGCGTCTCAAAATTTTAGATCTAGTAATATTTCAAGAAGCTCTTCAAACTATATTATTTTAAAGAGACTGCACGTAGCATTTTCAATTGATCTCCCATGTATTTCACGGACAGTCGTAGTACATTTGAATTTCCAAGCCGGGTCAACCTTTCCGGTCCCAGTTTGTACTGTATCGTCTGGACATTGGGTAAATAAAGCAGAAACTCAATAGGACTAGCCGGTGCAACAAGGTTGACGCTGTCAGACTTTAGGTTGAATTTACTTTTACTAAAGAGACAGAGGTGCATGATTCCCGATTTACAATATTTTTAAACCATTATCTGATCAATGATATGGAAGATATTGTCGTTTTTGTACAAAACTTTAAAAGTGTTTAATTCTATCAATTTACTACTTTGTTTCCGAAGCTAAATGCCCAAGTGTATTTATAGAGAAATCACTATTGAAAATAATCAATTCACGGCGTAAAAATCATCATACATTCTTGACCAAACAAAAAGCATTTAAAGGGACATAGCCAATGGCAGTGCAGTATCGTTGTCACGTCATACAGACGGAAACCACGTGACCAGTAAACTGCACTGCCATTGACTGAAGTTCTTATGACGTAACACGGACGTAAACGGACTATATGTAATAGTATTATCAATTATATCTATTGAAAATGCAAAATAGCAGCAAACCTGAGATTCTCAGGCTCCTGTGGGATATAATCGTTTTCATATTGGTTGCATATTTGTTTAATATGATCTATTTAAACCTACTACTTTTATACAGAATTATATATATATGAATTTTCGTATGAATTTGTCACAGTATCATATCAATTTCTCGAGACAGGAACATCAGATAGATGTCTTATAGGTATCGTTCAACGCCTGAGATTCTCAGGTGTCAGCCTATACTCCCTTTCATTTTTCTGTTACAGTCCCCCTTTAATGGTACCGTTGTGAATAGAATATGTCTTTCTATAAATGGAGAGTGACTTGAAATTACATTAATGGTCCACAACATGTAGTAAAAGACGAATCTATGTTTTTATTGCTTCCAATTGATGAATACAAATTAGGTGGAGAAATTGTTAAACCTTAAAGTGCTGTAATATGGAATTTAATGTTCGGTAAAAATATCCTTATTGCATACAAATTGTAAAAACAGCATTTCTATCCAATAACAGGTTTAACACTGAATATTCAAAACTGTGTTAATCATCTGAACAAACAAACAGAGATTACTACTTTATATAAAAATAGTTAATAGGTTTTTGGAACCCAGCTTTGCTTGGAAACCAACAGATTAGAATTTTAGAAAACTTATTTTTTGAACCAAGCTAAGAACATTCCTATGTTTCTACCGATTTCCCCATTAAAAATTAAGGGCGAGAGGTTCGTGAATCATAAAATATGAGCGGGCATCAAAACCGACAAACTACCAAACCGACAGACAAACAGAGATAACTAAATTTAAAATTCAGTGATGGCGATGGACCAAACCTCTGTAGAGTAAAAAAGTAGATGTTAGTTCCACATTTATTGAAAATATATTTCGGTCTGGGTTGACCCTCGTCAGTTCTTGAGATTGTTTCTTCACAAAGATTAAAATTTATATTTATAGATAAATCGTAATAATAATAATTATATATTCAGGTTCTCCTTTTGGCTGATAGTGTGGTAGTGAAGCAACTCCTTCTAGATAATGATTCACATACTACAAGGCAATTAAATGAATATAGAACTCATGTTGTGAATCGAGCCTTGTCATGGAGTCCCAATGAATTTACTCCTACAATCCCATTATGTTTTCGTGAAAAAATGTCTGTAAAGGAAACAAGTCGTTGCCACTAACTCTGATTTTCTAATCCTTATATCGTTACAGCCTAATGTCGTAGTCCTTAGATATTTCAAACTATGAATTTTGTTAATTCACATAATCTTATTTTAAAATATAAAATGCTTATACACCATCCGATTGCAAAGATATAAGGATAAGAACATTTAGGTTTCTGGCATTGACAAAATTACTTTAAAGAGATTTTTACCAAAAAACCTAAAATTACTGTATGTGTGATTTCAAGGATATTGTCGGTGTTTAAATCTGAAAACTTATCTACGTTTTCCTGAAGTAGAAATGCGCAAGTCACTTTTATAGAAACTACAATTAAAAATAATCAGTTTTCAAAATTATAACATTGATATCTAATTTAAACTTAATCGCTGATCATTTGAATCAATACTGGTATAAATTCTACCCAAGGTTTTTTTGGACCTTTACCCTTTTAATTCTTTTTAAAAACTCTCTTTAAACTCTATTAAAACTATTGAGGGTTCTTTCTCACTCCCCTTGTAAAGTTAAAAGAAGAAAATTGTAGATACTGAAGAAGTCTAAATATGTAAAAAAATTTACCTAGAATTCTTTGATGTTAACTTTGCTTTGAGACTTCTTTCATGGTTTGTTCAAATTCCATGGAGTCATTTCTGACACAAAACCATATATATATACTTTGCTTGGCTGTCTGTCTGATTTTTTCTAAAAAACGTCATAACGGCTGAACCGATCGGACCAAAAAATTTGTAGGCAACTAAATGACCCTAGGGAGGGTTTATGGATGCTCAAAGTGAAAATTTGGATTTTTGTAAAATTTTGAAAATCCTCGAAAAAGTATTATTAAATCCACAATTTTTTTTTCATATTTTATAAAGAAAAGATGCTTTGAGTAAATTGAGAAAGAGCCACAATTAAAAGTTGAAATATAAGATGGGCGAAAAGCCCATTGAAAGCCTGTCCTTTTTAAGTAATAATCTTCAAGCGGTCTTTTGTTAATAATCTTTTTCGTTTAAAAATTAACAAATTTTGTGGGTTTTCCAATTTTAATTATTAATTTTCCAATTTAAAAAATTAAAAATAATTTCGTGACACTTTTGATCTGTGGCTGACGATAAAAATCCCTTGTGGTATGTTTTTAAAGCTTTTTTCCTTGTAAAAGATTGTATTTTATAATTTGAATTTAAATTTGATTAAAATTCCTGAAATTTTACGAATATTTCTGTAAAAAAGAAATGCCAGCATTTAAATTAAACGAAGAAATCATTTTTGTTAAAGAGAATAAAACAAATTTTTGTCAAACTATAATAAAACAAATTTAACATTAACAGTCAACATTTTTTTCAAAGCATATTTGGTTTTGAAAAAGCCACAATCTAAAAAGAGGATGAAACTTTAATGACGAATATGTTATGACACTACCATATATTTTAATAACCCAGGGAGGGACTGAGCCCCTAGAAACCCTCAAAAAACCCTGCCCCAGTATGCGCCTCTGAATTTAATCTAAAGATGTATTTCGAAAGGTTATTCCTGATAACTTAAATATTGGTTAGTTCAACAAGATTTTTCTTGAAGAATTTGTAAAAACTTTTAGATGGTTCTTAAACAAATGATAGGTTTTAGTTTAGGACAGCTTTATAATTCTTTTGTATTTATAATGTATTCTAAGGTAGACAGTTAAATATTTTCTAAGCTAGACAGTTAATTGTATTCTAAGCTAGACTGTTAAATGTATTCTAAGCTAGACTGTTAAATGTATTCATTCTAAGCTATACAGTTAAATGTATTCTAAGCTATACAGTTGAATGTATTCTAAGCTAGACAGTTATATGTCTTCTAAGCTATACAGTTAAATGTATTCTAAGCTAGACAGTAAAATGTATTCTAAGCTAGACAGTTAAATGTATTCTAAGCTAGGTATTTAAATGTATTCTAAGCTAGACTGTCAAATGTATTTTAGGCTAGGCAGTTAAATGTATTCTAAGCTGGACAGGTGAAAGTGTTCTAAGCTAGACAGTTAAATGTATTCAAAGCTAGACATTTAAATGTATTCTAAGCTAGACAGTTAAATGTATTCTAAGCTAGACATTTAAATGTATTCTAATCTAGACAGTTAAATGTATTCTAAGCTAGACATTTACATGTATTATAAGCTAGACTGTTAAATGTATTCTAAGCTAGACTGTTAAATGTATTCTAATCTAGACAGTTAAATGTATTCTAAGCTAGACAGTTGAATAATTTCTAAGCTAGACTTTAAATGTATTCTAAGCTAGACAGTTACATGTATTCTAATCTAGACATTTAAATGTATTCTAAGCTAGACTGTCAAATGTATTTTAGGCTAGGCAGTTAAATGTATTCTAAGCTAGACATTTAAATGTATTCTAAGCTAGACAGTTAAATGCATTTTAGGCTAGGCAGTTAAATGTATTCTAAGTTAGTCAGTTAAATGTATTCTAAGCTAGACAGTAAAATGTAGTCTAAGCTAGACAGTTAAATGTATTCTAAGCTAGGCAGTTAAATGTATTCTAAGCTAGACAGTTAAATGTATTCTAAGTTAGTCAGTTAAATGTATTCTAAGCTAGACAGTAAAATGTAGTCTAAGCTAGACAGTTAAATGTATTTTAAGCTAGACAGTTAAATGTATTCTAAGCTAGACAGTAAAATGTTTTCAAAGCTAGACAGTAAAATGTATTCTAAACTATATAGTTAAATATATTCTAAGATAGACAGTTGAATGTTTTCAAAGCTAGACAGTAAAATGTATTCTAAACTATAGCTAAAAGTATTCTAAGCTAGACAGTAAAATGTATTCTAAACTATATAGTTAAATGAATTCTAAGCTAGACAGTAAAAGAAAAGGATTTAAACTTATTCAATTTTATGGAAGTCTAGGCAGGTAAGCTTTGCTCAAGTCCCCATGGGATGAAAGAATTTAAACTAGGGATGTGCGTCGTTTCTGGGGAAAGATCAAATTCTTTCTTGGGAAAAAACAGAACGGAACTTGACGGAACGAACGATTTAAGAAAAAAAGTAACATATCCGGCTCAAGTGCTTGTTGTCGTTTCTGGGGAACGATCTGTTTTTCAAGGTAACAAACTGAACGGAACGGAACGAACGATTAAAAAAAGTTGGAACATGCCAAGCTTAAGGGCTGAGTATCCTTTCTGGGTAATGATCATTCTGTCACGGGAACAAATAGAACGTAAAACAGAACGGAACGAAGATTTTAAAAAAAGTAGGAATATTCCCATTTCTATAGATGAGAGAATTCAAATACAGTGATTCTTGATCCTAGATTTATTTTCATTTAATAAACAGAACCATCCTGGGTAATTGAGCAAAAGAAAGAAAGAAGTTATTGTCACCCCNCTTCAAGCAAGCAATATTTGAATATAATAAATAAAATTGACAGAATTAATCCGTTATAAAAATAGGAAATCGACTATTTTCTTCTCATTTTAATCATTTATTAAACATTTTTCATTGCCGTTCAGATCATTTTTACATTGTCTTTTTATACATATTCCTTCCATCAGAACTTTTCAATAAAACTTTTTATATCTGTCTTTACTTGGGCTTTCCGTTTCTTGAGTCTGGTTAATATAGTTTGACAACTTTACAGGGTTTTTGTTGTGTCACTTTCCTGCCAGTTTGGCTCGTTCTTGGACTTTTTAAAGACACCACACATTTTGTTCTTTTTCTATTTGTTTTCTTTGAGGGTCTAAATTTGTGTAAAGAGAAGCAATGTTTAGAATTAACAATTTTGAAACTTGTAAAATTTTCTCAGATTTGTGTAGAACCTTTTAAAACTCCAAAATCCTTATCATTTTTTAAAAAAAGATGTCCCAAAATATATATAGTCCAAATATAATCTTACATTTCCTAATTTTAATGAAAAAAGACCAAAATATCTTAATTATTTTAAAAAAATGTTTAAAGGTAAAAATAGAAATAAAAAGAATATTAGATCTCAAAACAAAGTTTTCGTTGTTATTCATAGCAATCAAACATCATTTTATTAAAGGGCATAAAAATCTTAAAAGTAAAATCGATTATGTAGACTTAAGTCTACATAATGGGATAATAACGGCTTTAAGAGTAATAGTTCATTCAATATTATAATTTGAGCAGGGAACTTTAGAATGGATAACCTTTAATCCCAACTACTTAATCCGAATATCCACTGTGGAAACTTTTAATTTTTAGTCCTTAATCCACTCTTTTTCTCTCTCTTTGGATATCCGTACATTGTTTTCTTCAATGAGAGTGAAGGAATATAGTTTGTAAATTGTACTGACCAATGACAGCCTTGAAAATAAATTCTATTCCATGAGAGAAATCCATAATTTCTAACAAATTAAGAATTTGTTGTCGGCCATTTTGTAAATTTATCGTTGAAGCAAAATATTTAATAATACGTTAAATGAAGGCCCTTCCAGTCAAGAAAACTAACAAATCTGGCGTTCCTAGAATCAAATTTGTTGATCTAAATATTTGATCTCGAGACTAACATAATCTCGAAATTAGCAAAAAGATAGGATCAAACATTAATCCTGATATCCACCATTCTATAGTTTCCAGCTCTGAAAACCTATAACACCGCGAAAGATAATTTGATTGTGATAAATCATTATTTGCCGTCTTTAGGTTCATCCATAATATAAGGCGTAAACATTGAAATTGTAAACCTTTAATTTATAAAGAGCTCCTAAAATATTTTAATTTCAAAATTTAATAGTGAATGCAAAACTTAATTGAAAATGAAGTAAAATATTGTTTTAATGAAAATGAATGCATTTTGTTGAATACATTAAATATTCTATTGAAATGGAACACATATACAATTTAAAACTCTGGAATTCATTTCCAGATTTTCTACTCCAGAAACTTGGAGGCAAACTTGCAATATCGGGCAAACTGTCAACCCCTGCCCGTTAGCAAACTGGCATTGATATTTTAAATTTGTTTTAATATCTAGTTAAAACTAGTAAAGGAATTGAGTCTTTTCCACAAACTCATATTTTCTAATCCCTTTATCTTTGATGTTGTAAACCTTTGATATTTCAAACTATAATTTCTGTCAGATTAAATAATCATAGGTTTACCACAACTTTAAGCTGCAAAGATATAGGAATAGTGCAAAGATAGGAATAGAACATTTAAAATTGTGACAAAAACTCAATTTCTTTGTATCAGTTATATTTTCATTTCTTATCATTTTCTTCAATCAATATTCATGTAAAAATTCAGTCAAGTTGCCATCCAGCACATGAACAATTTCTCCGAGTTTGTTAAGGTAACATTTTATTGCGTTTTTTATGTTTTTATACCGTCGCTACAGTTGTTTCTTTTTCCTAGAATGGGTTATATGACGTTTGTTTCTGTTCTGCATTTGCATTTCTCGCAAATTTTGATAAATCTCTAAAAATATTTTCAAAAATATTTCAAAATGGCAAATTACAAAATTCGTTGTATTATTTTAAAACTAGCTGAAGGGCCCAGTGTTGCCAGTGAAAAAAAAAATTTGAAAAAAATAGAATTTTAAGCCTATAATATCTTTGCCACCCATGAGTGTCCACAAAAAATTTCAGCCCAATCGGTCTAGCCGTTTGGCGGGTTATAGGCAACATACGAATGTCTTCTTTTATTATATAGATTGTATTTTTGAAAAAAAATATTTTTAATTTATACGCTATTTCCTTTCTTTCTGTCAATAAACTAATATTTAATATTTTAAATTAAATAAGAAATCCTTGAAAAGAAATATAAATGTGCTTTTATTTTTAACTTTCAAACTATATTTGCTTTTTACCTTGTAGGGAGACATGAAAGGTATTTCAAATTTAAACCTAAAGTGCTGCACAAACTTTTAGATTGTACAAAGGTCGGTGAAAAACTGTGGAAATTGGTATTAAAAGACAATTGAAGATTTTTGCTGTCTTTTTTTGTAATTTTTTTAAGGAAATACAATTGTTCTTTTCAATGAAATTTCAAATTTTTTTCTCAAAGAAATGTATTTGATTGCCATTAATGAAACTGAGGTTTTGCCACAAACTCAATTTGTTTCATCCCTATATCTTTGCAACCCGATGTTGTAGACCTATGAAATCTTCTATATCAAATGGTCTAAATTTGAAATGTCAAAGGTTTACATAAAGATTAGAAAACTTTAATTTGTAGCAAAAACTCATTTCCCTTAAACCAAAAGTAAACAACATGTACAAAGGCCAATAAAAAACTGTTGAAATTGGTATCAAGTTAGACGGTTGTAGATGTTTTGTTTTCTTTTGTTTATTATTTTTCAAAGAAAAAACAAGTTGTTAATTTTTGATAAACTTTCGTATAAAAAGACGTTATGAATTTGTTTCTCAAAGAATGTATTTGATTGCCATTAAAGTAACTGATATTTTGCCACAAACTCAAATTTTCTAATCCCTATATCTTTACAACCCGATGTTGTAGACCTTTGATGTTTAAAACTATGCAATCTGCTAAATCAAAAGATCTAAGTTTAAAATATCTAATGTGTGCATCATTATTCATTAGGTTGCAAAGAAATAGGGATAAGAAAAATTCAGTTATTATCAAAAACTTAGCTACCATAAACTCGAAACGTTTAACGTGTATAAACTGTAACATAAGACCAGTGAAAAACTGTTGTATTTGTATCAAAAGACTTTTGTAGTCTTTTCTTTGCAGTTTTTGAAAAGAAAAAAAAAACTTTTTCATAAATCCTTTTTTTAAATATGAATTGTTTTTTGTTATAAATCAAATTCAAATATTAAACATAATTTTGTTAAATGTTCATTGGTTTTATAAATAAAAATAACCTATATAATAAAGCTTTCCGGTCATATATATATTTATATGATAACTATAGCTGGACGGAATAGGCTGACATTTTTTTAGGGAACCTTTGAGTACCCTGAAAGTAACTTGGGCTAAAGAATTAGAATTTTTTCCGAAAACAATTTTTTTTTAAATCAAAATTTTTTTTTCTAAATTTGATTTAAAAAATTTCTATTGGCAACAACTGGCACTTCAACTATAGTTATTTGATTCTTGTTTTTAAGGCTTTCTGTGATTTTGGACAAGAAATGGTTGATCTGATAGCTACCACTAGATGGTCTTCTAATCAGGTTAAAGAACATTTTTTTTTTTTTTCAATTTTTTTAAAATAATGTTGGATTTTGCTATAAAAATGCTTTTAATTTTTTTTAATCTGAAAAATCTGGCCATTTTCATTTTTGTCACTGCTGTATATATCTACAACTTAAACTCTAGGAAAGCTAGTGATTATAGCTTCTACAAAAAAATCAGATAACTACTAAATTGTTAATTTTAGTTTAACAATTTAGTCAAAAACTAAAAATTACTTTTTTCCATTTCAAAACATTGAGAATTTTTGAGAATTTTTAAGAATTTTCGAGAATTTTTGAGAATTTTTGAGAATTTTTGAGAATTTTTGAGAATTTTTGTTTGCCTAATTCTCAATCCTTTAACTTTGGATCCTACAGTTTGGATCCGACAGCTAGGATCTTTCAGGTCTGATCCTACACTTTAGATCCTTCACTTTGGATCCTACAGGTTTTATCCAACAGTTTGGACCAAACAGTTTGAATTCTACAGTTTTGATCCTTCATTTGGAACCCTACAGTGTGGATCCTAAAGTTTGGATCCTACAGTTTAGATCCTACAGTTTGAACCCTACAGTTTGGTTCCTAAATTTTTGATCCTACAGCTTTGATCCTACAGTTTAGATCCTACAGTTTTGATCCTAAAGTTTGGATCCTACAGTTTGGATTCTATAAACAGTTGAATCCTAAAGTCCGGATCCTACAGTTTGGATCCTTTAGTTTGGATTCTAAAGTTTGGATCCAACAGTTTGAATCCTTTATACAGCTGAATCCTACAGTTTGGTTACTACAGTTTGGAACCTACAGTTTGGATTTTACAGTTTGAATCCTACAGTTTGGATCCTACTGTTTGGATCCAACAGTTTGAATCCTCTATACAGTTGAATCCTACAGTTTGGATCCTGCAGTTTGGATACTATAGTTTGGACCCAACAGTTTGAATTCTATAGTTGTGATCCTACAGATTGAATCCTACAGTTTTGATCGTGCAGTTTATATCCTACAGTTTGGATCCTAAAGTTTAGATCCTATTGTCTGGATCCTACAGTTTGGATCCTACAGTTTGGTTCCTACTGTTTTGATCCGACAGTATGGATCCTATAGTTTGGATCCTATAAACCGTCGAATCCTTCAGTTCGGATCCTACAGTTTGGATCCTACAGATTGGATCCTACAGTTTGGATTCTTCAGTTTGGATTCTACAGTTTGGATCTTACAGTTTGGATCCTTTAGTTTGGATCCTAAAGTTTGGATCTTACAGTTTGGATCCTACAGTTTGGTTGCTACAGTTTGGAACCTACAGTTTAGATCTTACAGTTTAGATCCTAGAGTTTGGATCCTACAGTTTGTATCCTACGGTATGGATCCTACAGTTTGGATCATTCAGTTTGGATCCTACAGTTTGGATCCTTAAGTTTGGATCCTACTGTTTGGATCCAACAGTTTGAATTCAATATACGAATGAATCCTACAGTTTGGATCCTACAGTTCGGGTCCTACAGTTCGGATCCTACTGTCTGGATCTCACATTTTAGATCCCACAGTTTAGTTCCTACAGTTTGGAGTCTTCAATCTGGATCCTATAGTTTGGATCCTACAGTTTGGGTCCTACAGTTTAGATCTTACAATTTAGATCCTACAGTTTAGACCCTATTGTTTCAATCCTTCAGTTTGGATCCTACAGTTGTGATCCTACAGTTTGCCTAATTTATCTTGATAAATAAAATAAGGGTTTAGCTGTCTTGTTTATTATATATCTCTACAGACTCTCAAGAGACACTCTTGTCTTCATAAAACAAAGAAAATGTTGGAAGAATATATACAATATATATATTAGTGTTATATAAGGAAATATATAATGTTGGAAGGATATATACAATATATATATTAGTGTTATATAAGGAAATATATTTCATTTCAAATGTAAAGGGACAACATAAAAAATGGTGTAGTTCCAGTGCTATAGTTCTAGTTCTAGATAAAGTTCTAGTTTTAGTGCTATAGTTTGAGTTCTAGATAAAGTTCTAGTCTAGTTCTAGTTCTAGTTCTAGTTCTAATTCTAGTTCTAGTTCTATTTCTAGTTCTAGTTCTAGTTCATACGTTCTAGTTCTAGTTCTAGTTCTAGTTCTTGTTCTAGTTCTAGTTCTAGTTCTAGTTCGAGTTCTATGGTTTGAGTCACATTGCACATTTTTATCCCACGTTGAATCCTTTCTTGACAATCAATCTTTTAACATCTTTACAAAGAAAGGGAGCAAAGAACAGCACTTAATTTAGACACATTGCATTTGTCACAACCAAGGTTTTAGATCTCAATCTAAATTTCTTCAATTTTCAATAATTTTGATTTTTGACAGAAATACTAAAGATTTGTAGAAACAAGTTAAGCAGACACTGAGAATAGTTGAAGTTGACAAGAATGCTATGAATAAAATTAATAATAATTAGAAAAAAAATCAGATTTATAATTATTTTAGCAATAAATATAATAATGTAATTAAAAGTATTAATCAGGAAGTAGAGTATTAGTCCTGTGCTCCAAATCAACCCAAAAGGTCAACCTTGTGTGACTTGTAAATTTCTTTGCCATGACTTTTATAATAGTTTAGGGGTCAGAATCCTATTTTACATAAATCTGAACACACATGGGGGGAACCGAAAAAAGCCCCCAAAAATGGTCCAAATTTTAAATAGCCGAAATCATGTTAAAAATGTGTTGAATCAAAAAAATATTCTAAAAGTATTTAGGGTCCTCAAAATTAGTTTTTGTGTAAGTCTTATAAAAATAAAGTTATCGATAAATATTAATATCTATTCTGTAATCTAAATTTTTATTTTAGCAAAACGTGAATTAGCGGAAAATAGATAGTTTTAAACCCAAAATAAAAAAGTAATTAACAATTGTAAGTAGAAATGAAAGATAAACATAAATTTAGATATATAGGAAATTATGAATGAGCAGGAAGAATTAAAAAGAAATTTAAAGTGAAATCTAAGATTTAAACAGATGAGCTGGTTGTTCAGAAAATTTAAACATAAAGCAAAATATCAAGGGAATCCAGAATTACAACAATAAAAAGTGAAAGTGAGGATAACGATTTAAAAAATAAGGAGGAAAACATAATGGAGAATACACACCTGATCATGAAAAAAATATATATTTAATACTTTTATTTCTATACTCACAAGTTCTCTCTCTAAAACTATATTATCATAATTTTGTACTCACCGCTTATCTCAGTTCTCATTTTCTTTTATCTATTTTCCTTTTTACATCCACTTTCCATTTTTCCTTTTATTTGGTTGTTTTTTAACTTTTTTTCCTTTTTTTAACTTTCACTATTTTATTCTAATGTTTTCCTTTTCACCGTGATTATCTTAAGTTATCCAATCTTTAATACACTTTTCGTACTTTTTCTGCAAATATTTTGTGGGAAATACAAATCTTTCACCTATATAATTCTCTTTTTAACTTCTTTAAAAATTGTATTTCCAATTTTACTTTATTTGTAATATTTTAATTACTCCCCATTTTAACTTTTACTCCCACATTTATAATTATTAATAATTTCACATTGTATATGATGTTGTATTTTCTCAATTAATATTTGAATTATCATATAAATTAAGAAAAATCGGCTATAACTTGGTTTTTATCAGACCTATTGTAAAATTGTGTTTCGATGACCCCAGTTATTTTTAGCATATTTTGGGGGTCGGAGAAATAAGATTTTTTTTATTAAGTATATTCATAACTTGCATACTTTTGGCCTATTTTTATTTCAAACATTTTTGAGGTCATTTTTCTAACCACTAAACCATTTTAGAAGTCATGACTCATGGTAAAGAACATTTGAAGGTCGACTTAGAGCCAATAAAACCAATAAAACTATTTGACATTCAAATACATGAATTATATTTAAAATTCGCCAAAAAAGGTGAAAAAACTTAGGAAATTGGAAGCTAAATGTCAAAATAACCCAATGATATTTTTATTACTTTTTTATTTTCCCACTTTTCGTTCTTTTCTTTTATGGAAAATGTAATTCAATTATATAAATTACTTTTTAATGTTTTATTTTCCATTGAATCCATTCAAAGTTTTATCAACTATTTGCTGAAACGCCCGACGTTGCTCGTGGAAAAAAAATCAGGGGGGGGGGTTTGTTTTTTTAGCCAATTCAACCCCTAGGCTCCTATGAGTGTCCACAAAAAATTTCAGCCCAGTCGGTCCAGCCGTTCGGCCGGCTATATGGAACCAACATATATACGAATGTCTTGATTTGTTACATAGAAGATTGGCTAACTCTTTATAGTGGTACTGCTTACTGTTTAGTGATTGTGTCTCAATAATAGATCATTAAAAATCAGATTAGAAATAATATATTTTAAAAATAAAAATGTTTTAAAAATGATGGTTTGCAGTGTCAGGGGTTTCAAATATTGTTTAAAGAAGAACAAAACAAATATTAAATATAATAAGATAATTATATTGTAAATAAAAAAGGGAATTCATTATTTTATATTTTCCAAATGTTGAACTATTGAACTTAAACAGACAGATAGCTTTCAGACTGAACGATGTTCAGTAAAATTGTTCGTTCTTTCTAAAAAAAAAGGATTGTTTTTTTCAAAAGTGAATTATAAAAAATCCGTTCGTTCAGTAAAACTATCTTTTGTTTTATGTTTGTTCGAAAGAATCGTTCGTCCAGTAAAAAATCTTTTATATTTTCAAAATTTTTCAAAACATTTGTTCAGTAATTTCTCTGAACGATCCATGAATCCTTCAAGATAAACATATAGATAGATAAACAGATAGATAGAAGGATAGATAGATAGATAGATAGATAGAAGAATAGATAGATAAACAGACAGATAGAAGAATAGATAGATAAACAGATAGATAGAAGAATAGATAGATAAACAGATAGATAGAAGAATAGATAAATAAACAGATAGATAGAAGAATAGATAGATAAACAGATAGATAGAAGAATAGATAGATAAACAGATAGATAGAAGAATAGATAGATAAACAGATAGATAGAAGAATAGATAGATAAACAGATAGATAGAAGAATAGATAGATAAACAGATAGATAGAAGAATAGATAGATAAACAGATAGATAGAAGAATAGATAGATAAACAGATAGATAGAAGAATAGATAGATAAACAGATAGATAGAAGAATAGATAGATAAACAGATAGATAGAAGAATAGATAGATAAACAGATAGATAGAAGAATAGATAGATAAACAGATAGATAGAAGAATAGATAGATAAACAGATAGATAGAAGAATAGATAGATAAACAGATAGATAGAAGAATAGATAGATAAACAGATAGATAGAAGAATAGATAGATAAACAGATAGATAGAAGAATAGATAGATAAACAGATAGATAGAAGGATAGATAGATAAACAGATAGATAGAAGGATAGATAGATAAACAGATAGATAGAAGGATAGATAGATAAACAGATAGATAGAAGGATAGATAGATAAACAGATAGATAGAAAGATAGATAGATAAACAGGTAGATAGAAGAATAGATAGATAAACAGATAGATAGAAGGATAGATAGATAAACAGATAAATACAAGGATAGATAGATAAACATTTAGATAGAAGGGTAGATAGATAGATAGATAGATAGATAGATAGATAGATAGATAGATAGATAGATAGATAGATAGATAGATAGATAGATAGATAGATAGATAGATAGATAGATAGATAGATAGATAGATAGATAGATAGATAGATAGATAGATAGATAGATAGATAGATAGATAGATAGATAGATAGATAGATAGATAGATAGATAGATAGATAGATAGATAGATAAACAGATAGATAGATAAAAGGATAGATCTGGATTCATCATCTTGTTCCAAGAACTCATTGGTTATTGTTAGAGTTAGCTGACTCAAGTTCAACTAATTAAACTTGGTTTAGTTAATCGAACTATCAGTATTCTATCTATCTATCTATCTATCTATCTATCTATCTACAATTCTTCTAAATCTAACACTCTTAGCTCCGTGAAACAAAAACTCTTTTTGCCAAATTTTCGGTATATTTAACCATCTTCAGCGCATATTCCAAAAAACATACAAAATAAGAAGCTTGAATAATAAATGTTTAAGATTTGAAAGAATTAAAAGATAAAAGTAACAATATATAAACAAAAACAAATAAACAGATTTCAAATGTGATACCTTTCTTTAACTCAACCAAAGATTAGCTGAATATTTGAATGTTATGAATGGTGGTGGTCTATCTATCCTTCTATCTATCTATCTATCTATCTATCTATCTATCTATCTATCTATCTATCTATCTATCTATCATATATCATCTATCTATATATCCTTCTTCTCAAATACTTTATTAAAAACAAAAGAACACTTATACACTTAAAATATAATTATAGGTATAGAGTGGCGTGTTCTCCCTCTATAGTTTCAGATAAAGTAAAAAACGTGATTTCGAAGAAATAGAAATAAACTTTTAATAAATCTGCAAAAACTATGGATTTATGAATTTGTAAAGTGGCTTGGTCGCCCTTTTATTTTAGCAAAGATAATATATTCAATAAAAGAAAAAAGAGAGAAAAAACTTTAAAATTCAGCAAAAATTATTGATAAGGGCGTAATTGCATAAACGCCTAGAGCTAAAATGCATATCTATCTATATATCAATCAATCAATCAATTATATTTTGTTCTGTTCAGGCTCGATCTTCAAGAGAGAGAGCTCAAATAGAATGCGCAAGACAGGTTAGTTTGAAGGGGGGGGGGACCATTTTTTGTCCGCTAGGCGTCTCTCCCAATATTGAGAGCAGAGACACCTTGCGGCCAAAAAATATTCCTCTAAAGTACATTGTACACAAAAAAAAGGATAAGGATATTTAAACAGCACATAATGAATGCCCGAATTGAATTCAACAATTATAAGGGGTAATATCTGAATAATTTAATAGAATTAGCTGCGGTCCGGGTAAATAATGCAACTCCGTAGATTTGCATGAGTATTACTTTTTTGGTATGAGTCGTTAATAACTATGTGCACCAGAACATTAGTAACGATGGATATCAAATTCAATCCGGAATCAGTCTATATCATTTTGCTAACACTTCCTTTAAATGTTTTAAAGAATAAGGCAGAAAAAAGTTTTTTTATCAATGAATACTCACACTTACTAGAATTCGAAAAGAGCAGAGCCAAGAGTTGTTATTTAAAGCGGAGCAAACCTGATAAGGTTAAAAAGTGTTTAATTTTAATGATTTCATCCAGGCAATTCCAGCTATTTTACTCATTTATTAAGTTTCAAATTAATGAACCTAAGGTTAAAATCTTATTATGTATTTTCTAATTTCTCAGAAATCCTGTTACCGACGGGTGGGAGGATTTAATATTGGTAGGTTTTAATTAAAAGTATTCATGTTCCAGGTATTAGATAGATCTACTGTTCTCCTTTTAACCTCTACGCAGTGTTGCTTACGTCATCAAAACTCCGTCACAGCGAGGCATAACAATAATAACGATAATAGTAACAACAAGCTGAGTGTTGCCCGTGGAATTTTTAAAATACTTGAGAAAAAAATTCTAATTTTAGAAAAAATTATAATTTATAAAGAAAAAAATTTTATCTACGTTACCACCGGGGCCCAGGCACCCTTGGGTTCCCTCAAAAATGTTCAGCCACTTTGGTCCATCTGTTTGGCCAGCTAAAGCTAACATATATATGAGCGAAGAGCTTTATTATATAGATAAAAACAACAATAACAACCATTAAATTCATTTTCAAATATCCTTATGTCCAGGACGGAAGTGCAGACTATACCCTATTACGATGGGGTGGGGGGGGAGGTCCATTAACCCCGGGGTTTTTCTTAATAACTTAAAAACGGCTTAAAATATAAAACTTCTTCACTATTTAAACTTCAAAGTTGTGAACAAAGTTTGCAACAAAAAATTTGTTGATGCATACATTACATAAGGTAGGGTGAAGGATAGTCAAACGGTGGGTCCGTGTTTCCAAAAAAAATAGCATTGGTTAACAACTTTTTATTAATTAAGCTACAGGGCTAAAATTATATGTTTAACATATTAATTTTTGAACATTTTTCCGATGTTCATTTTATTTAATCGTCCCTTGCACCCTTACCATTAAACATAGAGGTCTAATTTTGTATTTGTGCGCCGTAAAAATTTGGTCCAGGGACATGTATCACACTCCTCTGACTCAACTCTAAAAGCAAAATCAAAGAGGGGGGGGCGAAAAAAATAGCCCAAGCCTGAAAGGGTTAAAACTCTTCAAGTATAAACATTAATCAGCCTTATTTCTGTTTCCTGCCTTGCTTGTCTTGTGTCTCTCCCCATGCTGACGTAAACAGAGATATTTAAAAATATTTTGTTTGTTTTCCTCCTAGACATTCCAAAACAGGATGCAGACCTATCAATGCATCTTTCTTTAAACAAATATGCTACAAACAGATGTGTTTCGATCTTAAAATACCACTAATGGGGGGGGGGGGTAACATTAAATAAGGCATTGTCATAAAAAATAGTTTTATCGAAAGAGATTACAAAGATAAGAAATCTTCATTTTTAACGAGGCAAAAATTATTACAAATTTTAAGGACCACAGATTATTTATTCATGCTTATCTGGTGCTAAAATAATTCTTTTTTTTAACCCGAATTCAGTCATTGGATTTAAATATTATAGCCTTTGAGAAAAATAACCTATGGCAAAAGAAAGCATAATAAGCAAGTTTAAAATATCACATGGTTTTTTCATAGTCTTATTTCAAATAAAACAATAAGTAAGTTTTTCTTGATTATCAAAAATCCGACATATTTTTACACATTTAAAATTGCATGATTTAGGGCTTTCACAAATTTATATTTTGTCAAATTTGTCGCATAAGCTTTTTTATTACTTTTTTCATCATAAAAAGTTTGGATTTCGCAAATATATATATTTATCGATGTATCCTATTTCGGTCAAATGTTTACAGTAATGTATACTGTAAACTGTAAACAACACTATGTTGAAAAAACATTATGAGCCGGAAACTTAAGACAGAGTATTGTAATGACACCCAGTATTCCGGAAACCTGATTCAGAGCCCAAAACTTAAGACAAGGTAACGTTATTAAAACCAGTTTTAAACCCGGGTTTCACGAATGGGGTTAGGCAATTTTGTGAATATCAATATTTTTGTTATGAAAAATTATTTTATTCACTTTATTTATATTTTCTTTTTTTTTCGAATCTCTTAAATCAAAATCTTAAGGCCCCAAAAAAAGAAAACGATCGGGAGTTCAATTTTTCGGCTCAGGCAGTTCATTACGGATACCAATATTTTTGGTCAGAAATTTTATTTCATGAGGTGTCCAGTAGATCTTACCATACACTACCGGCCCTCAACTCAAATTATGGAAATCAATTTTGCAAATTATTTACAAAGATATATTTAGTATTGTCACGTCCCACCGGTGTACATTTGAATATCCGAGCTGGGTCAACCTTTGTAGTCCTACTTTGGACTGTATACTGCCAATTTACAATTACTAAAGCGGCAGAGGAGTGTGTTGGTGTTTCTTCACTTTTTAACACAGAAACTAACACAGTTACAAAATGAAAACATAGGAAAAAACTTTAGTATTTTGGCAAAAAATAAAATTAATTGGTGAAGTATTTTGAATATTTTTATGTCGTTTTTTCTAAACTTTCTAAAGTTTACTTTTCTTCTTTTTGTAATTATTATTGTTGTGAAGAGAGAACAGAGACACAGTGTTTTGTCAGATGAGACGGGCAATAGATCTTATCCACTTCGTTATCAGGTAGAATACAGATACAGATACAGATACAGATACAGATACAGATACAGACAGATTTCGGAATTCCGGTTTAATTGCAGACTGATTTTTTTGTAAGCCTGAAATTTTCCGGAAACATGTTCCGGAATTTTGGAACGTTAGGGAAAAGCACTTGCAAAAAACTTTCAGGTAAAAAAATAAAACCTTCGTAGTTCTGAAAAAAAACTTTTTAAAATTTTTCCCTCGACAAACAGTGTGGTAAAACATCCGGTCCGTGTAAAAAAAACGAAAGCAGCCCTTTTGTGAATTAAGCTCAGTGGTCTAATATTTTTTGATGAGCTGGCCTTGAAAAATTTGGCTATGAACATGCATTGCAACAAAAACCTTTAGTTTAAGAAAATTTTCTAGGTCTCACCCCCCCCCCCTGATATACCTATAGATTCAGGCCCACCCAGCCTTTATAGGATTAAGACAGTGAGTTATTTTTTCACACAAAAAAAAACAAGAAATGAATGAAAAACCAAAAATAAAGCTCAATCTTCTTTTGTAACAGTTATGGTAATATTTTCAATTAACAATATCATAAGATATTTCATAAAACATCCATTGACTATCTTTATTTTTCAAAAAATAAAATTATTTTAGAGATTTTCAGGTATTTATTCTGGAACTACAAACTTTTTAAGTCTAAGCTGTCTAATCCTCGTGAGAATTTTAAATTTGAAGAAAATTGCAAACTTTTGTTTCAAAACTCTAAGTTTGTAAAACTTGTATTTCCATTTTTCTATTTAACTCAAGATAATGCAGTTAGGAAAAGGAAAGTTGATCATTTTACGTTTCAATGGACACATTTGTTACAAATTTACGATTACCAACCTTTTAGGACGCTTTGCAGCACTTTTTCTTGTGATGAATCTAGCTTTAATTGTGATTTTCATACCACCATTTTTTAACATCGCACACTCTTCCCAGTTTGTACCGGCCTGCCAGATAACAGCGTGTACTGACCCGATCCTATGGTATAGTACGTCGCCCTAACCAGATTAACATACGAAAGGGGTCAATTTTCTTGGCATAGTTCCGTCGGAGGGCTAACTATGACAACTCCCATGGCGCGTTCAGACTTTTTACAGTACCCGGCCTAATCCTAGGCCTATTTGACCGACCCCACTGGCTTAAACCACCGTGCGCTGCGTATAACTAATAATTTCTGTATTATTATTATTTTATATTATTTGGTGAATTTTTTTGTTTCAATTGGCAATAATCGTTCTTTCTTGGGGGACGTCTGACGTTTATTGGATACTAACAAATCAAACAAGATATATCTGCAATAAAAATATATCTAGCTAAATTCGTAAAAAACAGAGAAGCTACAAAGTTACAAAGTCATGTCAGTAGTGTCGTATATTTGGATCTTCTCCTAGTGTTCTAGTACAGTGTGCCATCTTCACAAAAAACCCAAAATTAAATTTAGCCTTTCCGTAACTAATTTTAAAACTATCAGAACAATTGTAATTGTTAACCCACGAAACCTTTGAGTGATGAAGGTTTTCGGACTCGATGAACTTTCAAAGGTTTGAAGGGTATTGTTTTGTAAATCGGGCACTGTCCTCTGTTCATGGAGGATCACTTGAAATTACGCTAACAGTCCCTTTAAATCAAAAATATCTTTAAATCTGAAGAAAAAGTACGATGAATCGAAAGGAAATAAAAATGTATTATCTATTATATTTTTACTCAATATAAGATAAACAATTATTTGTTCCACATTCTTAGTAAATATTAATTGTTGTAATGTTAGCTGGATTAAAGAGTAATGAGGGGGGGGGGCACTTTATATAACTATAAAGGGACAATAGGAAAATATTAAGCAATATTTCATTTTAGAAATGTGTGTCCGATTTCTGACGATGCAACTTACCGTTTGAACCTTTATTCAAATTAACAATATGGAATTGATATAATTCTATAAATTGCTTGTATTACATCTGTTGCAAATAAATTTAAGTCACTTTTTAAAGAGAATAGAAATTAAAATGTGTTCACTTTTATAAATACATGGAAATCTTTATAGTTTTTACCACCTTCTAAACTTAAATTTTTGAAAGAAAAGATCACTTGAAAATACGCGGAAAGTCCCTTTAATATTAAAATTTATCGTTGTGAGGATTATCTTCAAAATACGATAGTTTATGGTTAGATTATATTGGATTATATACTCAGATTATGGTAAACTGAACACATGAAAAAAATATGATTTTAAAAGTAAAATTTTGCGCTTTTAAATAAAAAACTAGGCTTCGTGCCCATCTTCTTTTTCAACTTTAATTAATTTAATTAATCTTTTACCATTTTCTCTCTTGGCTAAAACAGCAGTGAAAAATATTGCAGATTAAATATTTAAATAAACGTGGATTTTCATAATCTTACAAAAATCTAAAATTTTGAAGACTACTTTAAGCAATTATGAGCATCCGTAAACCTTTCCTAGGGTCATGTTAGGTCCCACATGCACAACATTTTGACGTTTATTTGATACAAACAGACAGACAGATAAGCAACGTCTATCTATATCTATATCTATATCTATATCTATATCTATAGATACCATAAAATTGATTAAAATTATTAAATAATATGATTTAAAGGGACTGTAAAGGAAAAATGAATGGGGGGTATTGGCTGAAAGCTAATCACTTTAGCTCTCGATCGCGACCCATGAAAGTTATATCTGATGTTCCTGTCTCGAGAAACTGATTTACAACTTTATCAAATTTATACGAAAATTAATATATATATACAATTTTGTATAAAAGTAGTGGGTTTACAAAGATCAAATTCAGCAAATATGCAACCTATCTGAAAACGAAAGCTAATTGTAACTTAGGCTTACTCCAATTCTAATTATATATTTGTTATTTCTATTTTTTATAGATTTAATTCATAATATTATTTTTACGTCTGTATTGCTTGACCAGCAATTCCACCAATTGCAATGCAGTAAAGTGGTCACGTGATACAAGCGGAGACACGTAAACAGTATACTGCTCTGCCATTGATAATAGTTCTGGTCACGTGATTTAAGTTTAAGATTTTCTAAATTTTACAAATATGAACTTTCGTATAATTTTAACACAGTTTATATCAATTTCTCGATACAGGAACATCAGATAAAACTGTCATGGGTCGCGATCAAGAGCTAAAGTGATTAGCTTTCAGCCTATACCCCCTTTCATTTTTCCTTTACAGTCCCTTTAAGTGCTAATATTCTCAAATTCTCTCTTTCTGCGGGACAATATTTTTTATATTTTTGAGACACAAAAATCTTTGGAATAGAAAGATGACAGATAGATCAAAGTTATGACTGTAAATAGTCCAATGAACACATAAAACACAACAATTGTGCATTGTACACAGACCCTTTTCACATTATGAGATGGTTTTTAAGCTACTAGAAAATGTTTTCACATAACTTCAACATAAAAAATCCATGACTCAAATTTCTTAGATTTCTTCTTTCTTTTCTCACAGTTTCATCCTTTAGTGTGTCTTCTCGATACTAAAAGTAGCAGTATTGCAATTAGTGGTTACTCCTTACATTGGACATAAAGAGATAGATGGTTAATCTATAAATCTATATATATAAAAATAAATATATATATATCTTATCCATACATTAACCAAAGCAGTATAATTGAATGTATGTATATCGTGTGTGTATGTTACCTATATAAAGTAAAGAAGACTTTAAAAAAAATGAAAATAATGTAATTTCCTTATTCCACTCCAAAGAAAATCAACTGATACGACCTTGAGACCTCGTAGCTTCTCTACAGTTTTGGTATTTAACACCTAAGCATGAGAAAACAATAATTTTTACTTGTATATCATTAGAAATTCAATAATCATCGTTCTTCTAAAAAAGTTCTTCAAAAAGAAGTAGTAAGGATTGAATCTTTTTAACATTTAAAGTTATCAGATTTTAATGAAAATTCAATGAAAACTGTTGCGTAAGATCATGTTTTTATTAAAGAATGTTAATTTACGTTTTAGAACTAAATTAATCTAGAAATTGCCCGGAGAGAAAGAGAGAGATAAAAAATAAAAGATAAAATAAACCTTAATTATTATTATTATTATTATTATTATTATTATTATTATCATTCAGGGAAGGCGTGTCCCCCCAACTATCAGAAGATCTAGAACTCAATGAAATCCCAGGAACTATCTATACATCAAACCAACAGTAAGTTTTTATAGCTACATTTATGTAAGACACAATGTTAAGCAGAAAATTGTCGAATATGAAGACGACTGTAAGGCAATATTTACGTGGTTTTACAAAGCTAATAGTTTTACTAGTAACTTATTAAATCACTTATTATGTGAAATTTTATTTAAAGTCATGACTTGAGTCTCAAAAACGTCTTGCAATTCTAGAGTTTTCTGGTTCTTACTGTATTATATTATAAAGGAGAATATTGAAATGTATTTATAATAAGATAAGTCTTCAATTCAAGTACAGTAAAGTATGTGTAGGCAAGGGTTTATGTGTTTTCTGGTTCTTACTGTATTATATTATAAAGGAGAATATTGAAATGTATTTATAATAAGATAAGTCTTTAATTCAAGAACGTGTAGGTAAGGGTTTTGTGAACATTTAAAAAGAAAGCTTTTCTAAAAGTCAATTTGATAACCAATAACAAATAAGATGATAAAAATCGACCCCTTTTAAAAGGATTGTAAGCGTAACTTTAAGTGACCCTCCATGTAGAGATAGCGATGCCCTTTCTACAACGTATACCCTTCAAAGTGCTTCTCATCGGCGTCAAACCTTATAGAAATCCAACGTATAGAAACCGCTACGTATAGCAACATGGCGTATTTTCCCGGAGAACATTTTTCATATTTTTGAGAAATTAAATAATCAGTGTAAAGTAGATATAATTTTCATAAAATCCTTTCATTTAAATGGTAAAACGGAATTTTATGAAATCATATTTGCATTGCTGGAGAACTTTTTAATACTTTTGAGAAATTTTTTTCTTCTAAAAATAAAACTGTAGATAGCATTTTTATAAAATATTTTTTTAAATAGTAACATGCAAATTTACGTATAACCATATAATCATTCATTTATGTTGTCAGTACATAATAAAATCTGGGGGACCTTAAACTGCACAATAGAGAGCAGTACAAATGTACATATTAAAATATTTTGCTCCTTTAATGTCTGGGTATGTTAAAAAATAGAAATTATGAAAATGATAATGATAAGCTACAATGTTTTACAAAAACGTTTAATTTCTCAAAAATATAAAAAAAATTCTCCCGGAAAATACCCCATGTTGCTATACGTAGCTGTTACTATACGTTGGATTTCTATAAGGTTTGACGCCCTTCTCATCAAGTATATTAAATATCCAAGTATCCAAAGCATAATGTTAAAGGGAGTGACCGGCTATGTAAGGTAGTTGAACTGAGTATGCAGTGTTATGGAAAACTTCTTTCGGATTCATTTGAGATATATTAAACTTTTTAAAAATCTGTAAATCCTGAGTTTGAGCGCAAATTTTACGTTCAAAACTCCTACTTTGGGGGTGGATACGTTTTCAGAATTAGTTTTTTTTAAATTATAAAATAGCGACAACGAAAAATAAAGTAAAACTTATACAGTCGAATTTGCGCTCAAATTCAGGATTTACAGGTCTTTAAAAAGTTTAATATGTCTCAAATGAATCCGAAAGAAGCTTTGCACAACACTGCATACTCAGTTCAACTACCTTACATAGCCGGTAACTCCCTTTAACATTATGCTTTTAAAATTGAAATACTTACGTTATTCTTACGAATAAAATGTTTGGGTTTAGTGTTTCCATGCGCAACAACTGTTTATTCAATATTTGTGATTCTTTTATCAATATCAAGACAGAGTACTATTTGTTCTAGGGTTGGTAATTGTAAACTTGTAAATTTGTGTTGGTAAAACCCGATACTGCAGATAGTGCAGAAGATAAAAATTTTTGAGTACCGAGTAATTCTTATACCTGTATCAAGTAACTGTATAAGTATACCTGTATCTTATACCTGTATCAAGTTACGTTGATACTTCTAAAATGTCAAAATAGATAGGTTTGAGCAGTTCCAAATTGCACAAAAAGATATATTTTTTCTCAAAATAAAGTATATACGAATTTGTTACTGTCTACGGCTTTCGATTAATTGAAATTAAGAAATTTTGCCTAGAAAATTATAAATTCAATGGGAACCCTCTAAAAACATTAATCAATTTTGCTTAAATATTGAAAATGTCAATATCTCTGAAAATCCATTTAGAATATTTCTTTTTTTGTCAGGTCTGCCATTTATAAACCTGAAATTTCAAAGTATTTGATATTTTCAATTTGAACTTTGCAAATTGATTATACAGCCCAGTACAACCATTTTTATAGTGCACAATATTTCAAAAATAGAATTTTCAAGAGGGAGAAATTGTCAAGCTTCGAGCCTAAAGGAATTAACAAAAAAATATTTGTTGGGAACCGCCATATCTATAGGGTCAAATATGTTCACTGCAAATATTTATTGAAATTTTAAGTTATTAAGCAAACATTTTTAAAAGATCTTGACACGGCGAATTCAAATTTTTGGAAAATTTGTAACATTGTATTTAAGAAAAAAATATAAATGTGCAAACTCCCTTAAAAGGCATATGTGCAAAATCTAAGCAAATTTCATCCTTTTGTTTAAGGCTTTCTGCAAATAAGTGTAAAATGTCGAAATCCAATGACAAGAAGAAGGTCTAAATATTGATTTAGTCTGGTAAAGGTAAAATAAGGCGTGAAGGACTCAGGCAGTGGGTGTAAAAGCCCCACTTTTTGTTAGTTAGAAAAGTTAAAGAAAAATGAACAGCCTCAGACCAATATATATTTTCTGAATTATCTACAAAAAAAAACGTCAGGGGGGGGGTCGCATGGATAGGATTGAAATACTGTCTATAATGAGGAGAAACAAATCTGAATATTTGTCAAAAATGTACTTTGTAGGGGTATTTTGATAACTTTTCAATAATATGATTAAAATAAAAGAACATATAAAACTATGTTTTATTTTTTTTTTTTTTTTTGAGTGCTCTTTCATGATTTTAATTTTTGGTACTTTTTTGCTTGGTTTTACAGAATCTGTGAAATGAATACTTTTATTGTAAAATTTTATAATGTGTTTTAAAGTTTAAGAAGTAATACCTTAGGTTCGATAAAGTAACTTTGGAAGGAATTGGTTTCTTTTTGGCAAAGGAACTGAAAATCTGCGCCAAACCCATACATTCTATATTCTGTCTCAAAACTGCTATTTTATTCAACAAAAATCAACAAATCGGTTCACAGTGTGCCTTCTGCTATAGAAGACGATACAGGTTAAGTTAAGTACAGTGTTTATTGAAGGAAAGATGGAAGTATGGAAGTACAGGAGTACGCGCTTACGGTACAATATATATATTAAAGGGAGTATGGAAGTACAGGAGTACAAGTTTACAGTACAATTTACATATTAAAGGGAGTATGGAAGTACAGGAGTACAAGTTTACATTGCAATATGTATATTAAAGGGAGTTTACAGGGGTACAAGTTTACAGTGCATTGTGTATTGTAAAGGGAGGATTGAAGTATAGGAGTTACAAGTTTACAGTACCTTGTGCATATTAAAGGGAGGATGGAAGTACAGNAGTACAGGAGTACAAGTTTACAGTACAATATGTATATTAAAGGGAGTATGGAAGTACAGGAGTACAAGTTTACAGTACAATATGTATATTAAAGGAGGGATGTAAGTATAAAAGTAAAAGTTTGTAGTACAATATGTATATCAAAGGAAGGATTGAAGTATGTAAGTACAATTTTTCAGTACAATATGTTTATTAAAGGGAGTATGGAAGTACAGGAGTACAAGTTTAAAGTACAATATATATATTAAGGGGAGTTTGGAAGTACAGGAGTACAAGTTTACAGTACATTGTCTATATTAAAGGAGGGATGGAAGTATATGAGTATGGAAGTAAAAGTTTTCAGCAAAATATATTTATTAAAAGGAGAATGGAAGAATAAGAGTACAAGTTTACAGTACAATATGTATATTAAAGGGAGTATGGAAGTACAGGAGTATAAGTTTACAGTAAATTGTGTATTGTATAGGAGTTCAAGTTTACAGTACAATATGTATATAAAAGGGAGAATGGAAGTACAGGATTACAAGTTTATAGTAAATTGTGTATTGTAAAGGAGTATGGAAGTATAGGAGTACAAGTTTACAGTAAATTGTGTATTGTAAAGGGAGTATGGAAGTATAGGAGTACAAGTTTACAGTACAATATGTATATCAAAGGAAGGATGGATGTATGGAAGTTTACAGTACAGTGTATTGTAAAGAGAGTCTAGAAGTATAGGACTAGTACAAGTTTACAGTACAATATATATTTTAAAGGGAGGATGGAAGTATTGGAGTGCAAGCAAGTGTACTGGGATCTCTACGACAATTCGAACACTCCGTGGACCTAATACGACTGTCTGTTGTCAGGTTAGTCAATAATTGACAAAATTTCAAGTAACGCTCTAGGCTGCAGGCAAGAATATAATGCAAGGAAAGTATACTCTGCGTACATATTGAAACCAGTTCTCTCTGGGCGGAATTTGTAAACAAGAATAGATGCCTCAGTGTTCGTTTAGTATCCGAGGAGGTTAAAAGCATTGAATTTTGATAATTTTGATAATTCACATAAATAGTTTCCTATGACCAGAATATTTCATTGATTATTTATGTGAAAGATGGATCCCATGTCAGGCTTCGACATCCGTCTTGTGTTTACATTAACACCCAGTGACAGTACACTGCAGTACAAAAGATGCGTACACCTCTGAAATAACTTTCCTTGCATTAAATCCTTGGCTCTAGGTGGCATGTACTATTCGCCTTAAACGCTTTGTCTGATAAGGAATGAAATGATGAATGAATGAAAAATCGACGCGTTTTTTTTAATTAAACTTAGTCTTTTGTCGTCTCTGTGCAGTTTTTATTTTTAATATTTGTTTTCTTGGTATTTCTAAAGAGCCCCGCGTTGAATTGGTCTAGCTTGCTTGTTATTCTTTATCAAGTGTTTACATCATTTTAGAAGCAATTAAACAAATAAACAGGTTTGTATTCCCTCTTAAATTTGATTAAAAACATTACTTAGAAATATACAGTATCTACAGACGGGGTTTCAATACATTAACCCTAAACAGGCTGGGGGGGGGGGGGGGGGGGGGGGGGGGGGGAGAGGCGTTTGGCACCCCCTATAGTTTTTTTGTCCTAGCACTCTCATTTTTCACCATGCAATTTTGTGACTTTTAATGAAAAGGATTTTTTGTTAAAAAATATTTTTTTTAATTTATAGGGTAGGGTACAGGGCGGAAAAAATTCCGATCTGAACAAAAAATTTTAAAAATAGCCCATAACTTTTTTATGACTAAAGCGACAGATATTTTTGAAAAGCCCTTGAAAAATCTATGTAGAAACATGTGTCATACTTTGATATTTGCTTAAAACAAAAAATACTTTGAACTTTTTTTTACCCTCCCTAGCACCCAAACTATTAAAGTTATCGGTCTAATTTTTTTCCTTTCAGGTGGCCATGAAAAATTGGTCTATGAACATGCATTTCAACCCTATACCTATTCTCTATGGCCTTTTTCTAGGGGGGCACCAAACCCCAAACGCCCCCCCCAGGCTATACATAGATTCAGACCCCCCCCCCCAGCCTTTATAGGGTTAAAGACAACTTTTCTATTTAAGTTTCGCTTTCTAGTATTTTTTTTTTTCAAATTACAAGTTTACAAGTAAACAAAGAGAACCTGATAATTTACAGCTTCGCTTTGGTTCCACGTTTATGGGTATCCATGCTGTTTGAATTGCATAATGAAAATCAAATTTAAGTCGAAAGACGTATTTATCGTATTGATATATACGACGATGACTGTATGCAAATTGATGATAAGTCATGGGACCAATTGCAAAAATGTTTTTTTATTTTGTTTGCCAAAGGATTAAATAATTCATTGTGGATATAATATTATGGGCATCCGTGTGAGGTCCATTTTGAGATAATTAAGGTTTCTTGGCGTTTAAAAATTCAAAATACTTACTCTGATCGAAGACATTCACAAAACAATTTTTCAAACCGCGGAAAACGAAAAATGATTTTAGAAATTGTTTCAAAGCCCGTTTCGGTGAATATCTGTGGTCAGAAATATTTTGATAAATCTCATAAAAACTATCTTGTCTAGCAAGCAATTTTGAAATAGGATTTATATCTCAGATTCTTGTGGAGACTCTTAACATGTAATAGTTACATACAAAGTACTTAGCGCAATTTATAACTAAAAGAAGTAATGAAGATGTCAATCATTTAGTTTTTTTAAATATTTTGAATGTTTGGATGTCAGAGATATTTAATTTTATTCTTACTCTTCCTTAAAAAGATAGTGAATTAAGAAAAAAGAATGCGGGAAACTGAATTAAATTAATTAGATCTTTCTAACAAATCAAAATAAATGCAGCACAGAGATAAAAACTTACACTAATGGGGGAGTTAAGGTTTCTGTATCAAAACACTGACCCCTCCCATTACTTCCCCCCCCCCCCTACAAAACTTAAAATTAAAAACCAATTATTCTAAATAATTGCTGAAATGATTAAATGAAATGATTGCTAAATTGATTTATTGATTGATAATTTGATTGATTAATTGATTGATAAAATTATCGATTAATTGATTGATTTATTAATTAGCTAAATGATTGATTTATTGGCTGATTATTTGATCAATTTAATGAATCCTTGAATAATAAATTGATTGATAAAATGATAAATTAACTGATTGGAAAATTTATTGGTTAATTGATTAATTTATTGATTGAATAATTGTCTGATTAATTGATTTATTGATTAATTGATTGATTAATTGACTAATTAATTGACTGATTAATTGACTGATTAATTGACTATTAATTGACTGATTATTTGACTGATTAATTGACTAATTAATTGACTGATTAATTTACTGATTAATTGACTAATTAATTGACTGATTAATTTACTGATTAATTGACTAATTAATTGACTGATTAATTGACTAATTAATTGACTGATTAATTGACTGATTAATTGACTAATTTACTAAATGATTGATTTATTGGCTGATTGATTGATTTATTGTCTGATTGATTGATTAAATTGAATGATTAATTGATGTATTGTCTGATTGATTGAGTAATTGAATGATTAATTGATTGATTGTTAAATTTCTATTTAGTCCTAGCTACTGTGATCAGATAAGCTGTCTTCTCGATTCAATTGTGGAAAGGACACAGGTAAAATGTCTTCTATTTTGTTAAATCAAACAAAAATATGAAACTTCCCAAATGATTAGATCCCAAACGGTTTATACCAAATATATATTTTTCAAACATAACTTTTCCCAAATGTACGTTTATCCAACTCAACCTGTTCCCAAATATAAATTTTCAAATCTGGTTTTAAATCCAAATATTTATTTTCCCATCTCCCCAATGTCCCAAATCATTTTTCCGTATATACAGTTTCCAAACTCTACGCTTCCCAAACATAAATTTCTAAAAGAGTAATTTTCTAATTACCAATATTAGGCAGAAACAAAAAAAAATACAATTTGTATTCTGTGTTACTAATAGGTTTAAGCAGTTCTTTGGGTTTTACGTCATGGCTGCAAGCATAACAATTTTATTTTGGAAATGTCTCCTAGAAAATGATCAATTTTATTGAGAAACGTCTTTAATATGTTTAATTAGATTGTGCGTAAGTTAAGTTAAATTATATTTTGATTTATTTAACACGATATCTGAAATAATTAGAATAATAAAATTTAGTAGTTTCCATGAAATTATGCTGTTAAAAAAGTTTGGGGAGATACAGTTAGACCCATAAAATTGTGGAATAATGAGAACTACTTCAATCTTAATTGTTTATATTGTTAAAAAGCAAGTAGTTTACTAGTAGCAAGTAGTTTACTAGTGTTAAATCTGAAATCGTCTTCCTATTCCACAGTTTTATAGGTCTCACTGTGTAATTCCTTTTACATTTCAGATTGAAATTCTGATACAACAGCATTTAGCAGGGTTTTAGTATAGTTTAAGCTATAAATAAGTTTATTTCTTTTAACACATTCTCACACTACATTTTATGAGGGTCTTGGGGGAGGGTTCTTTGCTTTCAAAGATGTATCACCCACATTTTAGACTTTATAACCTTGAAATTTCATTATTTTTTAAGTATTAGTAATTTAAAGGATTTTTAAATTTTTTTTTTTAAGTAGGTAGAGTAAGGTACAGGACGGTCTAAAGACTGGTCGGGTTAAAAAAAAAACTGCCCACAACTAATTTTGTTATTCAAGATATCTTTATTGATAATGCATTTAATTCTATGAATTTAAAATTGTTAAAATTTTGATTATTTTACTACGTTGATAAATTATTTTTAAATGTTGGATTTAGACTTGGAAAAGGCGTTTGATTTCAGTATTCTCAACATTGGCAATGTTTACCATTGAACAACGGTTTCTACTTTACATAAACAAATACTCCACTACACAAATAGAATATATGAAAGCAATGTCGGAAAGTGTTTATTCGTTTTCTTTTGAAGTTTGAGGCTAACATTTGAGTATTTTTTATTTTTAAAGAGAATGTTTTCGATAAATTTATTTTTTCTTTATTTAGGATTTTACGGATTCTGCGTACACGACACATGATCATCGGCAGCAAATTATTCTACTAAGGTAAACATTTAGAAATGGTTGCGCTCTGGATGTATCTCGGCAACATTTTTAACTGGAAATGAAACGCAAAAATTTAATTTTTAATTGCATTTCACTTTTAACCTCCAATGGGATTGATATTATAAACAATAATCGACCTTTATCTTCAAGTTTGCCGAAAAGTACACCACGAGAAAAATATTTAAAAATTCTAATTTTAGGTACAGATGTAAACTAGAGTTGGATAATCTGCTTCGTCTTCCAGGTTTTGCCATTTTTTAAATATTTTTTTAACCCATTCGAATTTTTTGAAATTATATTATGATATATTTTAGGTGTTAGCTCACATATACTTTCAGAACAGGAGTCAAGGTATGTATGCCTGAACGATCGGCATTAAGGGAAACATGGTTGAAAAAACTTGATGTTAATAGCAGAAGAGTCAAGTAAATTCACTGATTTCACAAAGTATGATTGATGCGCGGCATTCTCGATCAGTCGCGCTTGAAGGAAGATGAAGAGCACGATTAATTGATTGAAAATATCGTCCTCGCTTTTTAAAAATCTTGAAAACTGTAATGAATATTCTCTAAAGTTACATAAGTTATTATAAATGTTTACTGCATTCGAATGACTAGAATAAAATATAGAATGTATGTACATTGTAATATTGAAATGATAAGTTAACGGTGTAATTTAACGATTTACGGGATAAAAAGAATAATGCAGCTTAGTGAATTTGCATGGACAATCAATCTGCTCTTTACTATTAAGCAATTTCAATCATTTCCTCCTTTCTATACGCTATGATATAAGTAAAGTTACCAGCGATCCAAATAAAGTTTGAAAGTCAGGTTTTCCTCTTTCATTTTTCGCGAACACTCCCTTTTGTTTAGATTGCACGAGGAAAGGAGTGGAGACACAGGCTTGTTAGCAATGAGGTTTTCTTCATGTCCAGATTATCTGTTTGAATACTTTGCCTGTCTGGGTGTATGTTAGGATGTTTGTATCCAAAAAACGTCAAAACGGCTGAACCGATCGGGCCCATATGACCCTAAGAAATATCTGGACAGTACAAAAAAAACAATTAGCAATTGTGTATAAATGTCTATACATATGTCTATATGTCTCCGCGGATGTTTCATAATTTTTAATTTTGGTTTAAAACAATGTCCAATCCGATTGTTTGGTTTCCTTTTTTTTAAATTACATCTGTATGTCTATTTTTCTCCTATCGTTTTATCTATCTATATAATTATATATCTGTCTGCATCTTTTCTGCTGATTCTGTGATGTTTAGTGCCAACAATATATCTAGCTAAACCTACTCCTATATTAGTGGGGATATAAACCTACTCTCCTATATTAGTGGGGATATAAACCTACTCTCCTATATTAGTGGGGATATAAACCTACTCCTATATTAGTGGGGATATAAACCTACTCCTATATTAGTGGGGATATAAACCTACTCTAATATTAGTGGGGATATAAACCTACACTCCTATATTAGTGGGGATATAAACCTACTCCTATATTAGTGGGGATATAAACCTACTCCTATATTAGTGGGGATATTAACCTATATACTTATAAAATAGTGACGTGGAAATACAGTCATAATCAGAAATTGCTGGAATAGGAAGTTGACTTTAAACTCAAGTCATGATGTAAAATAGTGCAATGAACAGGAGGCCTAGTAATTGTTCAGTGTTAACAGAGCTATTTCTATTAATAAGTGATTTAATAACTTACTAGTAAAGCTATTTACTTTACATCTACATCAAATGCACCTCAATGTTGCTTTAATGTCGTCTTCCTTTTCAACTGTTTTCTGGTGATCACTGTATTTTGAATCATCTATAGACTATATGTAGTATGTAGCTTATTCAATTACTTACCAGCTTTAATCCTTATTTTAAAATTCATTGAATTAAAATCCAATATTTAAGTCCCGGGTGTAATCCTCATACTCTATTGCAATTTACAATTTAATCAAATAAATCAATTCTATATCTATTCCTTTATATCAATCTTAGAAGAACAGAAATAATTCTAGGATATTATTTCACATTGTTTCAATATTGGATTAAATCTGGGATTAGTTGCAAGCACTTAATCCAGAATTGACGTGGATTGAAGAAATTAAGTCAAGGTCACAAACTCAAATTTTCGAATCCCTATATCTTTGCAACATGAGTGTGTTAATCTTTGATATTTTAAATTAAGGTTATTTGATCTAACATAATTTATACTTTGAAATATCTAAGTTCTACAGCATTGGGTTGGAAAGAAATAGGGATTAGAAAATCAGAGTTTGTGGCAAACATTCAATTCCTTTGTAATTAAACTCAATTATGAAAGCTGGGATTAATAAGGATTAAATCCAGGATTCGAGGATTTTATCTGGAAATTGAAAAAGGGATTAAAATTGGGATTCATGTTGATAGCATCCGAGATTAAAAGAAGGGATTGCAAAACCGTATTTCAATGCCATGAAGAATAAATTCTAGTCGAACCCTTCTCCATACAATAGCGGAGCTAAGAGCTGAACTAATCCAGGTATTCTTCATGATTATTCAACTCAACATAGCAATTCTATAATTTTCATGCTTTCAAATTGACTAGGAGTTTTTTAAATGGACTAGGTATATTCCTAGAGAACGATTTTGATATCTAATTGATCCTTGATCAAACAAGACTTTGAAAAGTACTGTTGTAATTCGACCAATGCCATTTTAGCATGTCCATTGAAAGTATACGCTTACAGTCCCTCTAAAGATCTCTTAAAATTTAAATAACATTATAAAACTCTTCTCAAAAAATATACCAGAGTAATACAAACTTGAGAGATAAAAATAAGAAAATATCAATTTAATCTAACAAAAAAATTGTGCTTTGACTTTTTGTTGTAAAAACTTTTTAGTTTTTTTTAGTTTTGACCAATCATGAGTAATTTAGTAAAAAAACATGTTGCCACAAAATCTCATTTTTTTATTCCTATATTTTTACATCCTGATGCCATAGACCTTTGATATTTCAAACTACATTAATATAGAAAAGAATCGGACAGGAGAAAAAACAAACAATCGGGCAAAAATCTTTAAAGAAAATAGAAAATAATCTGAAAAGTAACTCAATATTGATGATTGAGTCGAAAATATATTATAAAAATGGAAGTATCAAAGATATTGGGATAAGAAAATTTGAGGTATTGCAAAAACTTAATTCCTTTAATTGTTACATTTCTATTTGTATAGACTGCTGTGGAACACACCAAGTTTTTATCTGACCATTCGAGGTGAGTAAACTCTTTGGTATTAGATATTAAAGGGACCGAGCGCTGAGCACATATATATATACATAAAGGGGAGTAAAGTTATGGTAAATATGAACCCTATAAATATATACAGATATAGAAACTGCACACTCAGCTACCGAACATTTTCTACATATTTATTTAATAAATTAGGGAGCCTAACGCTACGGCTAGGCCATACTTGGGAAGTTTCTGCTTGGGAAATTGCACATTTGAGAAGTTGTCTATTGGTAAACTATCTTTGGGAAGTTGCCGCTTTGGAAAAGGCCTTTGGGAAAGTACCTAACATCTTTGGGAAAGTACCTAACATCTTTGGGAAAGTACCTAACATCTTTGAAACAACTCTTCTATAATTTTTAGTTTTTAAGGCTTTCTTTAACTTTTCACAATAGTTTTGCTTTTGACAGGGTGCAAGGAGTAGGGTTGGTTTCTCAGGGAGGATTAGGGTTGGTTTCTCAGGGAGGATTAAGGTTGGTTTCTCAGGGAGGATTAGGGTTTGTTTCTCAGGGAGGACTAGGGTTGGTTTCTCTGGGAGGATTAAGGTTGGTTTCTCATGGAGGATCAAGGTTGGTTTCTCAGGGAGGATTAGGGTTGGTTTCTTAGGGAGGATTAGGATTTGTTTCTCAGGAAGGATTAGAGTGCTAGCTCCCTCTCCTCCCTCCCCCCCCCCCCCTAGAAAAAAGTAATCTCTTTCCTGGTTAAATTCTTATAGAAGCCCCTAAATGTTGTAAAGTAGAATTCATAGTTAAGAATATCAAAGGACTACAGACTACATCAGGTTGCAATCATAAAAGGTTTAGAAAATTCAAAAAAAGAGTTCAGTTTCTTCACTGTAAAAATTTGAAAAATCTAGATTTTTCTATTTTAGGAATTCTAAAGAAAGACTAAGTCACAAAAGGTGCGCAATAGAAAGAGTGTTTTGAACTTTTAATGTGAATATATTAAAGTACAGCTTGCATTATTCCTCAACTTTACTGTGATATAAAGGAGAACTGAACACAAAGGATTAAACATTTTAGATTTATGAGAATTACAGTTTTAATATTGGACCAACGAAAAGAAAATTATATTTTGCTATTTTATATTAGAACAATTGTTTCTGGTTGCGGCTGTTCGAGGAACTTTTGTTTAGAAATCAAGATTATAATTTTCAATTTTGAGATTGTATTCATGAAATACTTTTCAAATTGCACTTCAGTGTTTCACGGATTTCAATATTTAGCTACAAAAATACAGATATCTCTGTCTGTTTTGATTAATTAATTGTACATGCAAATTTTTAAATGAAGTTTTAATTAATTTTTTTTTAATAATTAAGACGAGGAGCAGATATTCTTCATGCAGTTAGAACAGCTGGTTTCTCCTCAGATCCTGATAGATTGCAGGTAATTAATTAACAGGGGATATATTTTTCAACCCATATCCCCAACTGCACCCCCCCCCCCCCCCCCACCGAATATTTTATATTAAGGTTTTTGTATGGACTTCAAAATGACACCACAAAAATCTGTGAAAATTCCAATATTTCCAAACTATATATTCGTAATTTAATTAAACTATGCTAATTTGTTATTCTTTGAGAAAAAACTATTGTATTTTGTTTCGATTTTTTTCACAAATCTTTTCTCAGGGTTTTAACTTGGCATAGAGTAGTGTAAGGAAAGCAAATGTTTATAATAAACAATTTTAAAAGTTAAACATTAAACCGATTAAACAAAGAGATTGCTCTTTTTCTCTGTAATGCTTTATTGTCGGGGGATACATTATTAAAAAACCTTGTTCGTTATGAGCTGGTCCAAGAGGTTAAGTTATGAGTTGAAAACGAACAATTATTTAATTGGCCGATTTTAAAAGTTAATTAAACCTACCTGAACCAAATATATTGGAAAAAAACTTACTTTCCCAACATTCATTTACAATCCAATATGGTTTAGATATAGTGGTAAATATCAATCAAATTAACATGGAAACAAAGAGAAGCTGTTAATTAACAGCTTTTCTTTGCTTACTTGTAAACTTGTTATTTAAAAAAAGCTTGATAGAAATAGAAAAGCGTCTATATTGTAGTGATATTAACGCCGACTACTGTATCTAAAACGAGGAGAAACCAATGAAAATGTGCAACTTCTAATCTAACCTCTATTTAGGTTGAATGTGATCTGTTTGCTGAACACATAGATTATGTGGAAGATGTGTGTAAACTGATCAGGGAATTGGTTATTTTATATTTTATGCAATAAAAACTTGATATCATTACTTTCCCACAAGAAAATTTTGGTCTTGTTAAAGTGTCAAAACATTTTCTAAGCATTTCTAATTTCCCCTTTTTCTAAAATACTAGGCTTTATTGTCTATATTTCTAGAGTATAACATTTATGATCATCAAAAAAACTAAATCATACATTTTAAGATAAAACAAGGACGACAGTCATTACCTTGCTTTCTGTTTACCACTGTATTCAATTCCATTAATCTGAATGATAATCTGTTGGAAAGATTAGATCTGAGATATATTCAAACTATCTCTCAGATCTACTGGATAGATTAGATCTGAAATATATTCCAACTATATATCTCAGATCTGCTGGATAGATTAGATCTGAAATATATTTCAACTATCTCTCAGATCTACTGGAAAGATTAGATCTGAAATATATTCCAACTATATATCTCAGATCTACTGGATAGATTAGATCTGAGGTATATTCCAACTATCTCTCAGATCTGCTGGAAAGATTAGATCTGTGATATATTCCAACTATCTCTCAGATCTGCTGGATAGATTAGATCTGAGATATATTCCAAATATTTCTCACATCTGTTGGAAAGATTAGATCTGAAATATATTTCAACTATCTCTCAGATCTACTGGATAGATTAGATCTGAAATATATTCCAACTATCTCTCAGATCTGTTGGAAAGATTAGATCTGAGATATATTCCAACTATCTCTCAGATCTACTGGATAGATTAGATCTGAAATATATTCAGACTATCTCTTAGATCTGCTGGATAGATCTGTTTTCTTCCTCGACCTTTGATCAAATATTCATTATTCAAACTTTACAAACACTCTCTTCCTGGTATCTTATTATACTGGTATCCAGGTGCCCAGGTATCCTGGAATCCTGGTATCCTGGTATCCTGGTATCCTGGTATCCTGGTATCCTGGTATCCTGGTATCCTGGTATCCTGGTATCCTGGTATCCTGGTATCCTGGTATCCTGGTATCCTGGTATCCTGGTATCCTGGTCCTGGTATCCTGGTATCCTGGTATCCTGGTATCCTGGTATCCTGGTATCCTGGTATCCTGGTATCCTGGTATTATGGTATCCTGGAATCATGGTATCATGGTATCCTGGTATCCTGGTATCCTATCCTGGTATCCTGGTATCATGGTATCCTGGTATCCTGGTATCATGGTATCATGGTATCCTATCCTGGTATCCTGGTATCCTGGTTCCTGGTATCCTGGTATCCTGGTATTCATATGCTACAAATGTTAAAAAATAACCAAAAAAATTTAGTCATGTGTCAACAAGAGAATGTGATAGAGTTAAAGCAAAACATTCACAGGAAAATTATCAAATCTTTTAATACTTATTATTAATCTAATTTTTATTAATCATGTTTTTAAGGAAAATGGTTCTTACTCAATCCTTTATCCTGAAAGAGTACAGTTGAATATTCAATATTTGTAGAGATGTTTGCATATTCAGCTATTGATGCTGCTGGCATCAAATTCCTTTTATCAATATTTTACAAAATATCGACTAAGGGAAATTTGAGGAAATTCACAAATTCTTTTTAAAATTTTTTTAAAATTTGATGAATGTTTACCCTTATAGGTTAACTTGCATATCTACGGACCACAGGTTATTGTTGCTTCAAATACCTTCTGTGCTGAGCCTACCTCCAAAATTGCCAAAGAAACTTTTGAAAACTTTTGTGAAATGTGGCGCTTCCTAGTAAGTGATGTTGTTCAAGTGGCCAAAGACATATTAGAAAGCTTTAAAAGTTACCCACCCTCAAAGGGAGGCGTAAATTCCATACAAAATTTGTCTGCACAAAATTCAGAACAGTTTTTTCCAAACCATGTGAATCACTTTACCATGGGACCAATGATACAGCATGGATATAGATCAAGGACAAATCACTGTGATGGATCCATGTATTCTCCTGATATCAACTCTCAACAGCATAGGATAAACAATATGCCGATGCGTTCGCATCCCCACTATCCGATGCATGACCGGGGGCCACCTGATGGGGTTCCTTACCGGAACGAGACTGTCTGGGGCGGTGAAGGTTATGGACAGTACCGACAAGGTGGGTATGTACCAGATAATGGAATACGGTCTGGTATGGCGACCGCCCATGAAATCCTAGATACTTTCAAGGAGGTTGGTGATGATAATGAAATTTTGAAACATGCACGAGGCATGTTAGCAAGCGCCCAATCAATGCAAAGTTTTACCCGAGGGGAAGGGAAAATTAAAACCACCCAGGACTTTTTCACAAAGGCAGAATCATTATCAGAGTTCTCTAATAAGCTGTATAAATTAGTTCGCATGTTTTCTTACACCGTGCCAACCGGCGAGGACAAGCGAATACTGATGCAAGCTGCTGACCATATTCCTCGCCACTGTGGGCAGATGCAACTCCTTATTCAACTCCCAGGAGTTGGTAAAGAGTCTACATTTAGAAAAGTAGATAGCATAATAAAAGAAAACAATCAAATCATGTACCTAACAGCAAAAGTAGTTCAGTTATGTTTTATGAATGCCAAAAAATATGAATTGGATTTTAGAGGTATTACGCTCTCCAACAGCTCTGGAGACGGGACAGATGCAAGCTCAACCTTCGGTGCTTCCTCAGGAGGAGCCGGAGGATCATCAAGCCATCTGGATTCCGGAATCGGGTTCGGGTCAAGCAGACGCGGAGGACCCCCAGCAGCTGGCGCAGGGGGAAATAAGAGAACAAGAGTGTCCTTCCTTCTTTACTAACATCTTTTTGATGAAGAATTTTCATACAGGAGTGTTTCCAGTTTATAATATTAATTCTATTTTCCCCACTAAATTTCCTAGTATTTCTAGGAAGACAGCTCAACCGGCAGACAATAGGGATAACTTTCAATTTGACTCCCCGGGGAGCATAGAATCTAGTAGAGAATCAGATATTGGTTTGGATGAAAATATTCTAATTGAATTAGGAATTTCTATGCCTACGCAAAAGACTGGTCCACCCAAGGCTGTTTATTACACAAAAGAATTAGGCGTCTACCGTCAATGTTTCCAACCAGCGTTTGATTATCCGAAGACCTGTTCTCAGTTTTTGGGTTGTAAAGCCCGGGACTTTCTGCTTGTACTAGCTGGTCTTATAAATATACTCTTGCTACAGTTTGCGTTGGTTATTATCATGCATGCTGTTAATGAAGATTCGAAGAACTTGGGAGCCTAGAAAAGCCGTCATCGGACATTTAAAATTCAATTTCTTTCTGCTTTGTTTTCTAGCATTAGAAAAAACAACGGGTTTATAATGTTAAAAAAATACTTTTCTCAAACAGGAACTTTTACTTCCTAACACTGAAAGAAAATCCTTAAACCCTGCTTTTTCTTCTTAAATACAACAACTGGAAAAATGAAGAAAGTTTTTGTGCTGGAAATATTTGGAGTATTTGATTTGTAGATTTCTTCCTAGTAAATATACAGGGTAAATCATTTGGAGTAGAGTTGTAACTGGTTAATCAATTTTACAAACGATAAAAAAACTATAACTTTTTTTTTGATTTATCAGAATAACGATACCATCGTCAACAAAGGGTTGTTGTTATGAGTCGTTAACGATTGTTAAAAAAATAAAATGTACCTCCCTTTGATAACGAAACGACCAAGTAAAACTTAGAAACGATTCCAGCGTTTTTTTTATTTTAAAAAGCGATTGAAATATCCATTCCTACTTTTGAGAAAATATCTTGTAACAAAATAATTAAATTTCTGGCAACGCAATGTTTACATTTACTTCTACAAACTGTATGTTATTTCATTCTACTTTTATATTGAATATGCATATTTATCGCAAAAACATGAAATCACAAAAGATGCAAACCAAATTTCAAAACCTCGGCTTACTTTTCTCAACTACTGTAGGCGGCGGCATTCATATCAATAAATGAAGACGACATTTTATAAGTTTATATTTCTAACAAGATTTTTTAGATTACAAGTTTACAAGTAAACAAAATAAGCTGTTAATTGGCAGCTTCTCTTTGTTTTCCTGTTTATGTGTATCCATGCTGTGTAAATGCTTGGTAAAAATAAAAAAATAGAATTCGGATGTCGTCTTTAATGTATTGATATATACGACGATCCCTGTATTAATGTACAAGCAAGATATATTTTACTTTGTAAACCACAAGATTGGCTAAGTACTAGCCTCAAAATATAACTTTCTAACGTAAACGTAAACGTAAACGTAAACGTAAACGTAAACGTAAACGTAAACGTAAACGTAAACATAAACGTAAACGTAAACGTTAACATAAACATAAACGTAAATGTAAACGTAAACGTAAACGTAAACGTAAACGTAATAGTAAACATAAACGTAAACGTAAACGTAAATGTAAAAGAAAACGTAAAAGAAAACATAAACATAAACGTAAACATAAACTTAAACATAAACGTAAACATAAACGTTAACATAAACGTCAATGTAAATGTAAATGTAAACGTAAAGAAACCTAATTTTTTTAAACTTTTGCTGACCTGGTTTACTTAAAAGACTTTAACAACAAACATGTTTTTCTCAAATTTGTTGTTTTAGCAAAGAACAGAAATGGTTAAACTTGTTAAACACCATCCCAAATACCATCTGTTACCATTATTTCTTTTGCAAAATGTTACTTGATTATGAAGTATGTTTTACCAATATTGCATTTAAACAGTTAAACAGGGTATAGAACTATAGATACTTTTTAATAACAGCATAAAAAATATAAATTCATTTATCTGAAAAAAACAGTAATTATAATTTTTCAACAGGTTTTGCAAAACATTATAAGAGATAAAAAAAATTTTAAAGGGACCTAACACGTTATATTAATTGACTCCCCATCTTTTATTTCGAAAATATACATGTCTACTTTAAAAACGTTGGAGTATTTTTCCCAATAGTGATCAGATAAAGGTTTAAATGCATGTACCGTTGTAAATCGGACATGCCAGACTTTGAAGGAAGGATTTATATAAATCACGTTTACAGTCCCTTTAAATCTAACATTACAGGATCCGGAGGGGGCAAAAAATAATGTGTTATTAGGCAAAATATTACTTCTTATCAAACTTTGTCTTTTCATAACAATTTTTAAATGTTTATCTATCTATCTATCAATTTATTGTTAAATGTGTATCTCTGACTGTATCTGTAAAATTTTTGAAAATTTGTTGTTGAAAGGGGGAGGGGGGGGGGTCAAAGTTTATACTGTGAAATATTTTCTTATCCTCTGTAAAATCTGTTTAAAATATCATTCCATCAAGTATTTTCTCAATACACTATCAAAATGAAATCTGCCGAAAATTTTATTTTACTTAATTTTAATCTAAATCCCATATTTTATAAAGAAAATATTTGTTTCTTCAACAAATTTTTTTATTTTTATTTTTTAAGCATCTGCATTCTTTTTTTGTGGAAATAAGATCATTTTTAAAGGATAAATTCCAAATTACAAAAAACTGTTAGGTATTTTGCTATCATTTCAATTTAAAACTTACCTAATTTACATAAATCTTTTCCTAATTATTTATTAATTTTTATATAAATATAGTTCCATAGAAAACCAAAGTGTTATTAAACCCCCAGATAAATGTGATATATTATAATTTGTGATTTGTTTATCCATGTTCGAAAAGACCAATATGTGCATTGTTGTTCATTGGGCTGTATGTATTCTTTTACTTTTGTTAACTTAAAAACTGTTTATCTTCCATAGAGAATAGAATATATATTAGAGGGGAATTTAAAGAATCTCTCGGTATGAATTTTTTCAGTTCCTTTAAGCCTGAAAGGGAGTTCAAAGTGTACAAATCATGTAAATGTTCACAAATTATATGCAGTAGAGTACACAAATACAGTATACTCCCTAGACTATTCATTTCAATTTCGAATTTTTTAAACTGTTAAATAAACTTTATAATGAATTAGGTGAATAAAAAACATCATTTGATTTATAGTTATAACGGAAAATCATCGTTTGTAAAGTGGAAGGCATAGAGTCTATGTAAAATGATCATTGGTCAATTATGAAACCAGCCTATTTCATAATTTGGTTTTCTTTTAACAATAATTTTAGAATTTCTATAAAATGATATTCCAGGGCCCAAAAGGTGATATAGCATAAATATGTGAAGTACACCTGCAGTACGGAAACAGTACAACAAAATGGCCGTTTTACTCTTTTTTCTAATAAATTCCCCTCTAATATATATTCTATTCTCTTTGTTATCTTCCCATTCAATCAAAAAACATATATAAGATGACAGATATGACATATACTGATCATGTTAACAAAAAGCTTTTACGGAAATCAAACGGACTTAGCGTAAAACTGTTCAAAACTAAATTCATCTTCAAAATGTTGTAAGAATTATATTTTATTACGTTTACGTATAAATGTATTCTGTTACAGTACAATTTTGACTTACAGTACAATGAACAGCTATGTACAAAACAATTTTTAGGATTCTCAGTACTGTTAGTGTACACTGTACATAGATCAATGTTAAGAATTTATTATTTTATATATTGAGAATTTGATACAATGTAGAATATAAAACAAAAACAAACAATAAACTCTAAAAATGGTTGATAATATCTTTTATTATTTCATAGTTTGTGCCGTGCTTCCTATTAAAGCAGCTAGAGAGGCTCTTAATTTTTGAATTGTCAGATTATGAAAATTAGCTTAAACTATAAATGCATCCGGCGGACTAGGGTTAATTTGAATCCGGACCGGACCGACTCCTTGTACCCATGGCGTGGTAACGTACGGCATGTACCAGCTTATGTCGGCCTGGTTTCAACTTTTGTAGTCAACTGTCAACTTTTGTTGACACGGCCAGACGTTTACAGTACCCGGCCTATCAATCAAAGCCCCAGCCTATCCAAGAATGTAATGCAAGGAAAGATAATTGCAGTTGCGTATACTCTGCGTACATATTGAAACAAGAATAGATGCATCAGTGTTCGTTTAGTATCCGAGGAGATTAAAAGCATTGAATTTTAATAATTTTGATAATTCACATAAAAGTTTCCTATGACCAGAATATTTCATTGATTATTCATGTGAAAGATGGATCCCATGTCAGGCTATAACATCGGTCTTGTGTTTACATTACCGCCCAGTGACAGAACACTGAAGTACAAAAGATGCGTACACCTCTGAAATAACCTTCCTTGCATTAAATCCTTGAGCCTATCAATCATAGGCCCGGTCTATCAATCATAGGCCTATTTGACCTACTCCAATAGCTTGGTTCAGTGTGGGATATTGGGCAAGGGGATGACGCTGGAATTGCCAATGATATTGCGTTATGGGGAGCAAGGGGAAAGGGGGGTGATCACTCAGATTCCTTAAATTTATAATCTTAACTCTAACTTTTTTTTGCTATGCCAAAGGCAAGACAACGTTTAAAATTTAAATATCCAAGAACTTTTTTTGGGGGGGTTAATAACTAAAATTTACTATTATGTGAATTATCAAAATTATCAAAATTTAATGCTTTTAACCTCCTCGGATACTAAACGAACACTGCATGTATCTATTCTTGTTTACAAATTCCGCCCAAAGAGAAGTGGTTTCTATGTGTACGCAGAGTATATGCAACTGCAATTAACTTTCCTTGCATTACAATCTTGGTTCCGATAGTATAGTTTTTCCTAGAGTAGAAATGCACAAGTCACTTTGAAGAGAAATCAGTTTTAGAACTTATTAACATACTTATATACAAGAATGTAATGCAAGGAAAGTAAGAGTTTGCAGTTCTCTCTGGGTGGAATTTGTAAACAAGAATAGATGCCTCAGTGTTCGTTTAGTATCCGAAGAGGTTAAAAGCATTAAATTTTGATAATTTTGATAATTCACATAATAGTTTCTTATGACCATAATATTTCATTGATTATTTATGTGAAAGATGGATCCCATTTCAGGCTTCGACATCCGTCAAGTGTTTACATTACCGCCCAGTGACAGTACACTGCAGTACAAAACATGCGTACACTTCTGAAATAACTTTCCTTGCATTAAATCCTTGCTTATATAATTCAAATTTGAACAGACAATTTAGGGGCAATTTAGAGGCAATTTAGGAGCACTGGTGCCGTCTTTGCATACAGGTTCACTTGAAATTACGCTTACAGTCATAAAAACCATTAATGGTTTCCATATTTGAACAAAACCTTCATATTTTTCCGCTGAAGTATATATATTCTTATCTTACCGACAAATTACTGTGTTTAAGATCCTTAAAAGTTTGCTGGCATTAATTACACTAATGAGAGTAATTAGTGTTTATGACATCAGGACTCTAGGGGACAAACAAGCGTACTGCAGTTGAAGACTGTAATTAATTAACACAACTAAAAGATTAAAATTATTTACAGGGCTGCCCACAAAGAATGATACTGCAAAGATGACGGAAAACTCTTGAAATATGACAATTCCAATTAAGTTTAAATTGCATCTTCTGCATAAAATATAGAATTCCAATGGCTTAATTAATGAGTTGGCAAAGAAAGAAACAAGTTTATAATTGCAGGGAAAGAATATAAAAGAAACAGTGTCCGAATTT